AACAACTTGTTCTGAATAACCAAAAGGCTCAGGATGTTGATATTTAGTTAGTAGCATATGCTGGGATCAAGGACTACTATGTTTGTTAAAGTGAATGACTTTGACTTATATTCAAGGTCACGGGGGTCAAATTTGTTTCAAATCTGTAAACAACCTCTTATGAATAGCCATGGGTCCCAGGATGTTTATACTTTGCAAGTTGCATCCTGAGATTAAAGGCTATACAATGTGTTCAACATAATGACTTAGTTCGACTTTCAATCACAGGGGTGAAATGCTTAAAAAAAAAAATAACAGGGTCTTTTGAATTAATTTTAATCATAAATACTGATATTTTGCCTGTAGCTTTATTTTAGATCACTTTTAAGGTAACAAGTGTGAGTTTTATACCAGGTGAGCGATGCAGGCCCATTGGGCCTCTTGTTATTCATCAACTCTGCATGTAACACGTTCGTTTATTTTTTTGAAATATTCATGGATCTGTGTTAAAATTAATGAAACAATTTATTATGATAGGTAATGATTTACGATTGCTCCGAAATTGACGTTTAACCAATACACATACTGATCAAACTATAATACAGGTTACACGTAACTCTTCATACATAATGATAAAACAGCACGTAACGTAAAGGTAGATGAACTTAAATTGTATTCTGTAATTGTCATTCTGTTTATTTCTTTAGGGTCTGTATACATGAAATTGAGTTAATGGATATTTCATAAGACGATAATATAATATGTTGTAGATAAAGCTAGAGGGTGTAAACATTTATAAACAAAGGAATACCGAACTGTGAATAATACGAACTCAAAATATGATGGAAGAAAGTATTAAGAAGATCCTTAAAAATAGCTTAGACCAGATGCTACGACAGGGAAAGTAAAAATAGCTTAGACCAGATGCTACCAAAGGAAAAGGAAAAAAAAGCAATATAAGTAGTACATAGAATAGTAGACTGAATACGATAGCAATATCAGTAGTACATAGTATAGTAGACTGAATACAATAGCAATGTAAGTAGTACATAGTATAGTAGACTGAATACAATAGCAATATCAGTAGTACATAGTATAGTAGACTGAATACAAAAGCAATATAAGTAGTACATAGTATAGTAGACTGAATATAATAGCAATATAAGTAGTACATAGCAAAGTATACTGAATACGATAGCAATATAAGTAGTACAAAGTATAGTAGACTGAATACAAAAGCAATATAAGTAGAACATAGTATAGTAGACTGAAAACAATAGCAATATCAGTAGTACATAGTATAGTAGACTGAATACAATAGCAATATAAGTAGTACATAGTATAGTAGACTGAATACGATAGCAATATCAGTAGTACATAGTATAGAAGACTGAATAAGATATCATTATAATTAGTGCATAGTATAGTAGACTGAATACAATAGCAATATAAGTAGTACATAGTATAGTAGACTGAATACGATAGCAATATCAGTAGTACATAGTATAGTAGACTGAATACGATATCAATGTAAGTAGGCCATAGTATAGTAGACTGAATATAATAGCAATATAAGTAGTACATAGTATAGTAGACTGAATACAATAGCAATATAAGTAGTACATAGTATAGTAGACTGAATACAATTGCAATATAAGTAGTACATAGTATAGTAGACTGAAAACAATAGCAATATAAGTAATACATAGTATAGTAGACTGAATACAATATCAATATAAGTAGTACATCGTATAGCAGACTGAATACGATAGTAATATAAGTAGTACATAGTATAGTAGACTGAATAATATATCAATATAAGTAGTACATCGTATAGCAGACTGAAAACAATAGCAATATGAAAGGGTTAATTAATAGAGCATGTTTAACAAGAACAATAAAAGTTACCGTATGCTTAAGTAAACTACTTGGAAAATTGAAATCTGATTCAATTTTTAAGTAAATAGTATCTAATGCACTGTAATTGTTTCGTGGTATCCCGGGTTATTGACCATTTTCCTTTGTATAACCCCACTGATAAAAGGAAGGCTATGTTATTCTAGTTTTATTCCACATTTGACCTATAGTTTTGTTACAGAAAGGATAGCTGGGTTCAAACAAGGTGAAATAAACACCATCGATCAATTTTACCATACTCATTTTGTCATATGTGTCTGGAGATTGGGAACTCGATTAATTCATTAAAAAATATTTTTAGAATATTAAAGAACGTATTTACTAGCCTTACTAATCTGTATGGTGAACAAAGATATGCCGAGGTACTATACGTGTACGTTGTGGATGATATATCGATTACCAGTATGTTTTCAATTTAGCCCAATGACCTTTAACATTCCAACGACATTTCGGCGACGAAACGATCCGTAAAGTGCGAAAAAAATAAAAGTGGTTTTACTTGCCTTTATTGAAACGGTTTTTATCAAAACATCCGATAAATTATGCGATGTTGTGTTCACCCGGGATCAAAAGCCAACTTTTGTGCTAATTTATTCGCATTTGGTTAGAAGCTAAGGTGAAAATCGAGCTGTAATTTTCGTAAATTTGAAGACCAATGGCTTATTTAATGATAAACTGTTTTTTTACAGGTGACGAGCCTATTCTCTTTAATAATGCCAATATATAGGCCCATTATTTTGAAATATGTATTTCAGTCGATTTCTGTAAACACCCAAACTAAAACGATTATTGTTCATGATATTTATATTACTTATCAGCCATAATAAGAACAATCCGTGGAAGTTAAAAGTTCAATATTTTTTTCTTTCAATACGGTGACCAATGGAAAACATACCGGTTGCGTAGAGATAGGTTACAGACCAATGATAACTCGGAGTGTTATTGTGCGCAAATGTAACTCCAATATTTTCATACCTAAAAGGTCTTTATATATTTTGTCAAATTTATTGTTTTTCATTTCGATAGTGTCCTACATGTTGATTGATGCTTTCAAGCTGATCTCAATTAAACACTGGCTTCGTGATAAATCTACCATGTACTTCCCGGCGGCTTCATATTGTTCAACTTTTGCCCAGACATCTGGAATGCGTCGACGTGTTGATTTGCTTGAGCTGTTTTAAGACCTCGACCTTTTGTGTTTGGTATCCATTATAATATATACACATTAATGAATCTGCTCTCGACGAACTTCGATCCTACATTTTAAACGCTTTGTTTTAATAATAAGTGTAGCCATTCAAGAAATCTAGATATTTTACTTAACTAAGTAACGTATCGCCACTGCACTAATATCACTCGAAAGTACCAGCTCTTTACCATGGTAAGTTTGCCGATGTTGAAGCTGTTTGCCCACTGTTGCCTCTGGGCCTCCACGGGAAGAGATCGCCGACTGTAGTGCTCCACTGCATTAATGTATAATGCTCCTCCTGAAAACAAACCCATCGCTGCTGCTGCCCCATACTTTAAACCTTCAATTAAGGTAAACATAATTCTGGTTCTTGATCCGTTCTGCTGGGTTGCTGGCGTACGTGTGTGAGCCACCAGTCTCGGCAGACTAGGATTTCACAATAATAGTGAATTGATAGCCAGGTAAATAGTGTATAGGCTCGAGGTAACGTACGTAAACTTCGCCGACAGGTCTGTTGCACAAAACATACCTGGTTAGATTCGTGTAGCGTCAAGGTAGATTTTATTGTAAAATTAGGTCATGACCTGATAGTCACACTTCTAGTTTGTGTGGGTAAAATATTGTTGCAGTGAGATATCAACTGGTGTTCATTTGTGAGGTCGAACAGTACCAGGGAATGAGATACTGGTATAAACTTCATGTACACCATTATGTATTTTACTGAAAAAACCTTCAATTTGAACTAGTAATCATATTAGTTTTTAAGACTGTCATAGAATATTCTTTGTTTTTGTTATTTTGCACTAATTATCATACTGAGTGGTCTCTATGATAAAAATATCAGTTATCAAATGATATACTATGATACAGTACAAAAAGTACGATATAACAAAATCTAAAACTAGAAATTCCTAGCATCTACGCTTCCTGCAGCTCCAGATTATTCGACTTCATCGTATTTTTTCTTCATTGAATATCATCGATTTAAATATTAACTTCTTGTAATAGAATGTGCTTGATTTTACCCTAGAATGTAATCGTTTGTACCTTTAAACCCTCAATATAAACTTTAGTCTAGAGAAACTAGAACACTTGAACATATATCATCTGGGGTACTATATGTAGTGTATATTTATTTAGGAAACAATTAGGAGAATTGCGTATTTATCGGCATAAATAAGCATTAATAAGCTTTATCACTGTTGACTTATTTCTGATTTTATTGATAGAAATAATGATAAGGGGTTCCCTGATCAGTCAGACACCGACAACATATTGCGACACGTCCGTTTATAGATAGATTCACAGACCTATGTTACATTTATAAATATCAGTAAAGGGACAATCATAATATTTGTTGAAGAATACTGAGTACAAAATAAATGAATAATAGCGATGTTTTGTTCTTTGCTGAAATCCTTTTAAAATTGTTAAGCAAAAGAAGTAGTTCAATGTTTAAAATGTACACAGAGGAAACACATACGAGTAACTATAAACAATTCTCGTTTTATTTGGATTCATTACAAAGACTAAATGAGTAATAATGCATGAATAAAACATACACATATGATCGAAATGCTGATATCAAAAAGTTGTAGTAATAACTGCCTTCGTTATATGTAAAAACGTGTTTGTTTTGGTCCGTCCTGACAGTATATTCAGTATAGTGCACACGAAGCTGCATATAGACGAATTTGTATACGAAATCAATTATCATGATTTCATTGCAAGGTACAGGAACAGGAAGTAGGTGGCGCCATCAATCATGGTCCTAAACATATGACGATAATTCCATCTGTCTATGGCACCACGGACCCATGTCTCTCCTGGAAAATAATATGTGTATAGGGTATAACTAGTAGATGTCTCACCTGGAAAATATATGTGTATAAGGGCATAACTAGTACATGTCTCACCTGGAAAATATGTGTTAATAGGGTATAACTAGTAGATGTCTCGCCTGGCAAATGTATGTGTATAGGGCATAACTAGTACATGTCTCACCTGGAAAATATGTGTTAATAGGGTATAACTAGTAGATGTCTTGCCTGGCAAATGTATGTGTATAGGGTATAACTAGTACATGTCTCACATGGAAAATATATGTGTATTGCGTATAACTAGTACATGTCTCACCTGTAAAATAATATGTATATGGGTATAACTAGTACATGTCTCATCTGTAAAATAATATGTATATGGGTATAACTAGTACATGTCTCACATGGAAAATAATATGTATGTATGTATTTATATTTAGAGGTATAACTAGTCTCACCTGTTTATCACAATTATTAAGATTCTGTGGTATTTAAAATAACATTAGCTCTCTGACACACCAAAGAAACGTTAGAATCGATGAAATATCTTTATTTCTTCACATGTTTAAAAACATGAATTTGAAAATATAATTTTGCTGAAGATTTATTCAGAGGCTCTTAGACCACGTTCTTGATGGATACGTACACTTTTGATGACGATGACAGTTACATGTATTATGCATCCATGATGAAAAGGTTACATTTCAAAGTTTATCTTTATACATGATAAGCTTTCAATAACATTCAATATCTGTTACATGTAATTTTAAGGAAAACCAGGACGTAGTTAACGATTTACAATTTGCTATTTCAACTGTTTATTTAACCTCCAGCTAGTCATGTATCATATTTTTACACTACTAGATTTATAAGCTGTGTCTATCATGCAAAATAGTTAATAAAGACAGTGAAAATATTTCAGGATAGTCTTACTAACATGCTGGAACAAAATACTTTCAAGACTTTCGCTCATGATAGAATCAATACATATTACAATAGCTTTACTAAATCAAGTAGCTGTTCAGCTCGCTAATTTATGAATTTCATCACAAAATAACTTTTAAGGAATAAATCACAATCGATTCGTACCTTTCTTTTCCACGACTCCCTTGTCCAGGAGGATGTTGATTTCTGGCAGCATCATTGTCACCGTGAAGACTCCCCCGAGTACGAACTGGACGGGCCCCACCAGCCAGTAGTACTTGTACTCCGATTCGTCCAGGAAAAACAGGGAAGTCGAACATCCCGCGCCTATCAGGCCGAGAGACGGCTTGTACATGAGGAAAAAGAAGAGCGAGATGTACTAAATGTATCTATATTATAAAATGGCCATTAGCGGCGTCAGGTACCAACTATATGTATGACATTGAGTTCAACAACACTTCAGAAATGTAGTACAATTTCCTTTCAACACATAGTTATAGTTATTAATTGGACTGCCAAACTAATCGGCTTGTCAAAATTTAATCTACAGCACTCTCACGCAGGAATAGGGGGAAGATATATAAATTCAGTCGAAGATCCTATACAGTTTTTGATTAACACTTTTTGCCATTAATTGAACATCCCCTTAAATGTTATCATAGAGACAATAAAATATGAAAGGAATTATATATTTCGCAACCCGATTTTCCTATGGCCCTGACACCAGACTTAGACATTTTGACAGATTGATGTCTGGTGTACATGTGCTACCCAGCATTAAGCCAAACCCATAGTTTTGAAGAATACTTAGATTACGAATGTTATATTTGGAGAAAAAGAAATGTATAGGTGTTGCGTCACCTGCAGTCTTACCAGTTAGGTTTATTATCCACAGATCACAGTTAGCACTAAGAACGTCACAATCATCTTACTGGTACCGAAAATGTAGGAAAGATCACAAATATTATATTTTGCAAAACAAGCCATCCCACACCAGACCTAGATATTTCGGAGTCGTGTTTTCTGGTGTGTGTTTTTAACAAATCTGTATTAAATAATTTAATAGATTTGTGTTTTAGTTTTATAATTCTGTTCGGGTTCAGGTGTATCTTCTGATTGGTTGTTTTTAGCGGATTGCACATTGTCTAACATCAAAAACCTCTTGGATTTATTCTAAGCACATTGTCTTCTTGGTTATATGTTACAGAGATTAAATAACGTTGTAGCCATTAATAAATTATTTTTTATCACATTGAAATATCAGATGTATTTATCATCTAAAGGAGGAGTTTAACAAAGTGCAAACAAAACGATAACTCGAACTTGAAATCGATGACACTATGACAAAATATGGATAAAAGAAATGCTTTACTTATAAACCATTGAACAAATACAGAAAAATAAGATCAAGTGTTCCAGAAATGATTTCATTGAATTTCAATGATGCGTCTATATGATATTCAAATATATGTGTGTATAGAAATCTAACTGACATAGCTATGTAAAACTTGTCTTGGAGATCATTTTAAAAACACAAAGCTTACGGATATTACTCACACACGTGAGGTAAACAAAGCGTGTGCATTATTTTAACACAGAGCAACAATTAACCAACATTAAAAAATCAATAACTACCGAGAAAACGGTTGATTTCTCGGAATAACTTCATAGTATTTCATGGGTATTAAGACGAAAACACCGGAATAACTTTAGCATATTTATCTGTATAAAAGGATACAGTCAGGAGCATTCTGGTAAAACCTGATTGGTGGTTAAGTATTTCAAAGTTACACTACACTAAATTCACTTGAGGATAGTAAATAACCCTTCGAAGAAATGACCAATTACCGTGTTCCTGTTCCTGTTCCTGTTAATCTAACGTCACCCATCCCTATTTGACAAGACCCAGGAAAGCTGTCACTTCTTCGTCATACATATCGTTTCACAAACAAGGCCTCGAATATGTGTTTGTTTTGACATTCAAGTAATTGCATTTAACAAAATTCAATTGAGTTTTAATGAGATACAGTTAATGTAAATATTCTCGAACAGAGTATTGTTCTAGCTTCATCCTATATAACATAGTCTTTTGTTGCACTGTAATACTGTTATCTTGTTTATTCCGGTTCGCTTAATTCAAAATTATATACACCTTAAGTCTGTCTATTATACATGTGTGTGAGATATAACAATTTTTCCTTATTTTTGTTCAATCCAATAGAAAAAGATAAATCTTTACATTTTGAATGGTTAAAACTAATGAGATTTCAGTACATACAGTAGCAAAGATAGTTCATCATTTTGTATGAGATTAGGCTCGAACCATTCTTATTGAACAAAAAACAACAATACTTAAGTAAATGATTTAATGAATCTAAATATATGTTATATAAGTAAAAACGAGATACAAATAATAGGACAGTTATAATCTACTTTCTGTTCTTAAATCAATACATGATACGGATATTGTATAGTTAAAGTGATAGTGTGTAAAGAGTGGCGTATGTATAGGCCGATTTTACACATTAATTCACCTCTTTATATATTTATTACATAAATATTATTATGTAAACCTGATTAAAATGTTTTGAAAACCTTTTTTAATATTCAATATTCTTCTATTTGAAATATTGTGATTTCAAATTCACAATATCTTTAATTGATATAAATGAAATATATGTACATGTACATCATTATAGTGGCGAGGTGACTTGAGCAAGTCTATATCATACCTGTGCGCGAGCACACGTCTATGTACACATGGGCTCAGCTTTTGTCCAGAGACCCACTTTGTATCGACATTGATTTGGTTGAGCTGTTTTAAGTAAATTAAGGCCTTGACCTTTTTGTCTTGTTTTTATGATCAGATATACTCATATGGTACTCTGATTCCACTGAAACTTTGATGTGCCTACTAATGCGTCATAGTTAAACATTGACAAAGAAAAACACGTATTTTAGCATATAATATTTGTCCAAGTTCGTTTGACATTGTGCAAATGTTCCTGTTGTGGAGACAAAAGAATGTAACAACTTTAACTTCCTTACTTTTTGAACAACCAATCTATGTTGTGTTACTATAACTTGTATGCCATATCTTGCATATATTTTCTTACTAACCAGGAATTTTTTAGCGATATTAAAGCTGTTGGCCCACTCCTGCCTCTGGGCCTCCACGGGGAGAGATCGACGACTGTGATGCTCCACTGCATTGATGTATAATGCTCCTCCTGAAAACAAACCCATCGCTGCTGCTGCCCCATACTTTAAACCTTCAATTAAGGTAAACATAATTCTGGTTCTTGATGAGATCTGCTTTATAACCGAGTATACTGTTCCCGATAAATGGCCTACGTGAGCAAAATACTGTGGACTACTGGTCTCGGCTGTCTGGATTTCGCAATATTAGTGAGTAGGCAGGGCAGGATAATCGGCGAAGAGGAACATGGTAGGCAGAATGTACCGTATATAGGCCATTCAACAAGACATCGTTCCTTCGGTGGCAAGATCTGCTGCACTAAACAAACACTGAGATTATTTTTCAAATATTTCTCTAGATACGTGTAGCGTTGAGTTAATACACGTATATTTTATTTTAAAAATTGAGGTCATGCCTAGGCCCGTATCGCACGCCTTTGTGCTATCGTGGTTTTTAATCTGTAGTAATGATTGTTTGTTTTATATTATTATCATGAAATATGTTTTGAGCATCTAGTCCCTTATTAGCAAAATTGAGAGGTTAAATTGTCGAATGCCTTGTCTTGATGCTCAGTTATCTGTTTTTATGATATGTGATATAAAGTCGTTGACTCATCCAAAAAAAGGATGTTGAGTTGGGAAATTATGAATGAATTTGCTACGAATTTGTATGCATGCTTAATGACGTTTAACATATTCCAGTATGTGAACAATTGATATATTACGCTGCAAAGTAAGATTTAATGCCTGGACTGTTCACACAGATACACCCAAGACCAGAAAACGTTTAAGTATAGAAATCCGAATACGTTAAAGTTAGCAAAACTGTTAGTGATAATAATGAGTCTAAATATGTAGGTACCACTGTGAATATAAAGAATCTTAATACATGTATTTAGGTGTCAAAGTGAAAATAATGAACCTTTATATTTAGTTGTCAAAGTGATAATAATGAATCTTTATATTTAGTTGTCAAAGTGATAATAATGAATCTTTATATTTAGGTATCATAGTGGTACTAATGCGTCCAATCTTAAGGTATTTCTCCCTTGGTGGTGTTGTAGGATATCATTATGCATGTTTGTTGTGTATAAATTTATCATCCACATGCATTTTTATTTGCATCTATACGTCTTACGGCTTTTATGTTAATAAACAATTAAAAACTGAATATTGCTATCGCTATCAATTTTGTCATAACATCAATATGGAGCTGAGTATCGAACAAGTGTTATATGAATTTTACTTGCGTACTTGGGTGTTGTAGATGCGAAGAAATATTAATGAAATATAAACCCATTTTGATTGTATATTTTTCTGCTGCCTGTTTTATATGGATAAGGCACACGAAACGTTCTACAAAGTATATGTGCTATAGTACCCACGAACACATTTCATGGTAAACAGTATAGTTTACCTGTCGTTGTCCGTGTCAAATGAGTTACCGGACAAAACCTGTAGTGATTATAATGAGTGATACTATGTAGGTGTCAGAGTGACAATACTTGGAAACTGTTTTTCCAGCATGACTATAGCTTTGATGTTCAACTAATTATATAAGATATATCTATATTTAAAACGAAATTAAGGGGAGATAATATTACTGTATATACGAAAAACTACAGTGTCGTTGGCCAGGGATCCTTATGAGTAATTACGTTCTCATAAACCCAGAATTTCATGAATATTGTCTTTTGATCTACGAGATTATAATGTTGGTACATATAGATATATTGGTTACCGCTACAAGTATTTTATTGTCATTCCGATTACCAATCACGACACCTGTATTTGTTGTTTTGTTTAACTCGCATAAACAACGAACAAAAATCCCCAGATATCATAGACAACGTAACCTACATATTGTAAATGGTAAGATTTTCATAAAATGTAGAATGAGTGTTCATTTTTATATCACAGAGAGACACCAACACAAAACGAGAGTTATTATTAAGCCTTAACAGAATGCAATCTTGGTAAAAACAAATGTGTCAAAACCTTTTCATTTGACGTAAGTGGTCACCATAGACATAATGGCGTATATATAACAACAGCTATATACTACATTGCGTTATTGCAGTATCGGAACAATTTTTCTGAATATATGAACTTTATCAAGTAAATTTAAAGTACTAGTTATCTGCGTCCATCTGATGGTCGAGGAGAACATTCAGGCTTATTTTACCTAAATGTACCTCAGCCATTTGTTTTTATTTATTTCCAATTTCACGAAGAATAGAATCAGGGTTATTTTTATGCAAAATTATTCTTTGTAAAATAATGATTGATATTAACTTGTAACCGCTGAGTTAATGTATTTAGTAACTCGAAAGGAACATTGTTGAATGTTCAGGTGTTGTGCTCCATAATAACTGAAAAGTACTGTATGTATTTACCATTGCAATGAAACCTTTCAATGCGACTATGCTATATAATAAAAGTTGGTTAGAAAAGGGGTCACACAAGACAGGTTTCACCTAATACAGTTTCGTGATTAAAAATAGACTAGAGAGGCAAAATGTGTTCAGAAATATACATTGTTTTATTCATATCTTTTGAAATTGCATCATCATTTTCATAAACGTTTTATTAAAGATAGACCTTGTTAATATATGTAGATCTACATGGACTTCTATACCAAAAAGTTAAAATGATTTTATTTGGATTCAGTTTTAGAAAAGATGTATCATTACAATGTCGCCTACTGATGCTCATTAAGTTTTATAGTGACTTTTAGGCCTGCTTACTTGATGTACTGTGCTCTTTGATCCCTTTTTTAGTGCCTTTTCCTATCCGTACATCATTGACCATATTCATTCACTTATACCTGACGTCACAATTGGCATTATTCCATATAGAATAAGCATTAAATAGATTATGGATGCATTAAGTAAATATGGTTAAGTGTAAATGAAAACAATGTCGTTTCTATATATTACAAATAACGAGCTAGTTTGACGAAATACATTTGAATTAAGTAGAAAATACGCATTGAACATTGCTTAAATTATCAGGCTTCTGATTTTATCGTAAGAAAAATAATGACTTTATGACAATTAAGCGAAATGTTTTTATGATTATGCTCTAACTACAAGAAAAAATACGATGATTGTTTGACACATAAAGTAATTACATATCAAAATATACATGGTAACACAGTCTTCCTGTAGACTCGACAAATAACTAGATCCTTAACTTTTACTGTATCATGACCATGAGAGGCGAATGCGCTGTCCATTTACACTATATCATTTACCAACTTGTTAACGCTGACAGAAACTCTATCCATGGGAGTTGTTGTTTCCCACACCTTGAAACGGCTAGAACACAATAAAGTACGATAGTGAAGACATCTATTGCTCTTTTCATCATTTGGCGTGAGTTCCAGAGATCCATCACATCCCGTACCCATTTGTCACCTGTCAACAATATTAAATTATTAACATCCACATAAAATAAATAGATTTAACATCAAGAGATAGAGGGTGAAGGTGAGTCATACTCCTTAATATCTCTTCGATATAGATGAGAGTCATATGTTTCCAAATTTTCTTTGGAATTTAACAGATTTATATGCTTCTCTTTCCTGCAAACACAAAAAAAGCAACTCTCATTGTCTTCGTTGAATACTCTAGCACGGTTTCTACATAACCATGGATATCGAACAGAACTGCACTCCTCTTCCCTGAATGGGAGTTTGGATAGTAAATTACAAAAAAATGTTTTAAATATATAGTGCGATTTTAAATTTGAAAAAACATATTGTATAGTAAAACTCCCTGAATCCAGACACATAGACGCCCAAAAGTTTGGTTTGAAAAATGATTTAGATGCTTTTATTGGACACTTTTGAAATAGAAATGAAAGAAAGTACCGGTTTGATAGTGGAACAACCGGGGTGATAAAGGCGAGAACAGCAATGCTTGACATTATATTTGTCATGGCTACCTTTTTTGGATATTACTTCGTCTTCAAGGAGGAAAGATGACTCTTTCAGTTTCGTCAAGGCGTAACCGGTGACATACAGGACAGGTCCGGCCAGCCAGCTGTAACGGAACATATTGTCCGGATCCTCAGCGAAGAATAAAACAATGGCACCAGTAACGGGAATAATCTGAAACCTCTTCAAATAAACATACACAGACATGGATTACAACGTTGTTATGCTGAAATATTGGAAATCAATGTAGAACTGCAAGAAACAAATTAACACTCAAACGTTTTAAAGATTCTCGACACTAAGGGTGGTAATGAGGCGAAGTGTTAATTAAAATATGTATTTGCAGTGAAATCAGTATTAACAGGCCACCACGGACAGGTTCCTGGGTAGGTTGGTGTGAACAATAAGCAATTTTCAGGGGTCTAATAGTAAATAAGAATACATGGTTACTAAGCTAATGTATATTAACGTCAGTGTGGACAATACAATTTGTAGTTTTTCGAGTTAATGTTCTCCAAGGCACGAACATTGAACATTTAAATTACATGAATAAATACTATTTAGCTATAGCAATAGTATTTAATCATTCCGTTTTTCCTGTGGCCGGTTCGAAGCTTTAACTAATATGTAGTGATAGCCAACAGTGCGGACAAACTCAATTTCAAAATTTAAGAGCAATCTGCTCCTGATAAAGAGACAACAGCAATCGTATATTGTATGGAAACATCACTAACAATCAGCACAAGGAATCCGTGGGAAACAACGTTTAAAACAACAATGGTAATTCAAACAACCTACAATTGCCAAGCCCCAACCGAGTGACTCGGCCTGGTTGTTTCTAACAAAATATCAGACTTTATATCATCATGTAAAAGGGGAGAATAAGCTGGTAACTGTGCATCAAAAAGTAGAGAGGGAAGGAAAGTCATGCTCAAATTCGCAATGATACAGAAAAGAAATGCTTAATGTATTTCCATATAGAGACACATAGTAAAATATGCTTATGAATGCATAGAAGAAGGAATACCAAATAAGAAATTATGAATCAGATTAAATAACGCATGCATGTAAAAGTGAAAATAAGATAAAATGATCAAAAAAGAAAAAAAAAGAAATATGCTTACCATAAAAAGTATGCTATATCTTAAGCGTTCTTTCCAGCGGTTTCTCAGTTTATCCAAGCATGAAAGCATCCGTAATTTGCCATCTGCCATATACCTAATCATCACACCTAATCCAGTTATCATAACTGTGACTGTAGTGTACCGTAACAAAGTCAGCAACATCTCACAAATCAAAACCAGTAGATACTAGTACTTCAGTGTAGTGTACCGTAACAAAGTGAGTAACATCTCACAAATCAAAACCAGTAGACACAAGTACTTCAGTGTAGTTTACCGTAACAAAGTCAGCAGCATCTCACAAATCAAAACCAGTAGACACAAGTACTTCAGTGTAGTTTAACGTAACAAAGTCTACAAAATATCACAAGTAAATACCAGTGAAGTCTTGTACTTAGTACGAAGTAATTGTCCAAGTGTCTTTGTTTGATTGTGGTATATTTATATACGTGAATCTATACAAATAGAACAATAGTAAGACGTGAGCTCCAACCTAAGCGATTGATATCAATCCAATTTTATACCACGGCCTATACTAGTGTGCTTTATCAAAAGACACGCGAGATCACAGACGAGATTAGCTCACAATCCCTAATGATAAGACCTGACTACTGCATTAATTAAGATTGTAAAATGCAGTGAGTTAACGAACTACTCTGTTATAATGGAACTAAACTACAACCTATTGCAAACCAAACCAAGAACAAACGATTAACTCAACTTAGTACAAAGTGAATCCAGGAAAAATGGTGTAGAGGAGATGGAACAAACAAAATCCTGCCATCAGTGGCACGTGGTCCTTATACTCTTACTATGTACAGTTGATGGTGAGTAGGTGTAGTGGTAATATATCAAATTAGTATAATCTCGATATTTGTATCCGTTCGTCATTCAATCGTAGTCTTTTGCTGTCAAAGTTATGGTTAACTGAAAACCATGTTATCCGTCATTAATTAAATCATACTTTTATAGACTTAACACATGTATTGTTGTTTTCTTCTGTCTTACAGGTATTATGTGTGGAAATTCAACGGAGGACACGACGGTAACACATTTTCCCATTGTGTCATATAAAATAACAGATATTATTTAAATGATAATTAATGTCACGATATAATAAACAAAGGATCGGTACTTTAATTCCAGTTTATTTTGGTAGGAATGCATGGAATGTTTTATATACATATTGTAAATCAAACGTTATAATAATAGATTGCTTTTATAACGTTAATGTATGGCCAGAACCGCTACTATATTTATTGCTTGAAATGATTTTTTTTTAAACATTTATGACAGTATTTAATACAGTTTAGTAGAGGAATATTCCTATGATTCGCAGTAGCCCATCTTATGTTCAAAACAACAGCACAGTAACCCTATTTTTGTTTTTCTTGTCTTTGATGTAACTTTGTTTGTTTGATGCGATAGAAAACTGCCTTAAAACGGTGGGCAATACAGGTTGGTCAAGTTCTCTGGGTTTTTAGCAAATATGGAAAATTTTGTAAAAATTCAAAAAATTAGATAATTTACACCAGTTATACTTATTGTATTGACAGTGTGAAATAATCAGAAATACGTTATAAAGTAATGAGAACTAAAACAGTTTTTTTTTTCTCAGGAAAATCTGTTCACCAGCAACCAATTCATTGGTATCACGGCAGGACTAGGTACCTTCCTATTTATAGGTATATACCTGTACTGTTTATGGAAGTGTACGTGCGGCAGTCCTGATGATGATAAAGACGACAAACAGAACCGGGTAGACGACATCAGAAATAGATAACAGGTAACAGATTGCTTTCACTTTACGGACACAACCCTAAATGCTTACGTTTTTGCCAACATATTTTATAAGAAATATTTTTGTAATAGTTGAAAGTAAAATGCAGATAATTTCAAATAGACAAATTTATTTTTACAGAAAAGTGAAACATTGTTATTGTCTTTTATCCAGTGCACAAGAAGTTATGGAATTCCTTAAATACCTCACAGGGCGAGTGAGAGGAAAATAGAGAGATGGGCAACATTTTGCCGAGCCGTGAGAAAAAAAAAAATCCGAAATATATTCCTGACGTCGATATAGATAATTTGTTTGGACAATGATCATTTTGTGAATGGAACATGTGGTCGAGCTAGGGAGGCACAAACTGTTAATGCTGTTAATGTTGTTGTTGATATTGTTGTTGTTGTTGTTGTACGATTGCATGCAGCGTCTTGCAGTTTCTTAAGTTTGAAGATATATATATAATTACAATGCATTTGAAAGCTACTGATGCCACTGTTATTTTGTCATGTTTTTATTAGTATACACTCAGTTTGCATATGTAATTACAGCTAATAATAATGATAGAACATTCCTCGAGTCATGCCTTCGTTGTTTATTCTACAATTTTGTCGTTAGAGTAGCAAAGCATGAAAGTAGTGATGTGAAATACAGAAAATCAGCGGGGAAAACACGCCTGTTAAAACCTATAGAATATCAATTATCTGTGTAGTTGTTATACTAACATGCTGGATTAGCGGGATACATATCTGGTCAAATATACAGAAACGATCATATAAACCAACACCGATATATTTCGGATGAAAAGGGTTTCCCGTATTCATACTTCAGACTTTCAATACATGATATAGTGATATATTGATTTCGATAACATGTTATATGGTAATGTGATGGTGACAGGTAAATATGGAGAGACCATGACAATAGTACATATGTATGTATACGCTAAAACTTTTAACATTTCATACTCACTTGGTTATGATAGGTGTTCCTCCCAAACAATGTATGACATAATATTTGGGAAGCTAGCAAATAGATTTAAAAATGTAATATTAAGTTGTACATTGTAGCAATAACTTTTTGTTGTTTTAATAATTTTGTAATATATGCAGGTCATGTATTACATGTTATAGCATTTATAGTTGTTCAATTTAGTCTGTTGATGTTTTTTCAATATTTAATGTTTGTTGGAATTATAATAAATGTTGCAATGTCGTTGGATTTGTTTCTTTTATTGGGAATTTTCTTTAGGATAATATTAAGAACAAATGAGACGTTATTGAGATTGAAACGAAAATTGCAAAGATTGAATCTGATAATAAAATAGTAAACCGTACAACCACACTGGAAAATGTGACACGTAGATAAACAAACATGATCTACATGTAACAGCCTGCTGTTTAGCCCGGTGTAAGAGTTGGGGGTTTCTGTCTCTGTTGCCTCTGTTAACGGACATTAAAGGATATTGATCTGCTGCTCTGTTACAATTTGGACATCTATATTGTATTTTCCCTTATAATTTTTTCTGTTTGACTGCTTGATAGCCCAAAGCAAAAAGTAATATGATCGGGTTGAATGCTTACTACAATTTCTATGAAACTTTATGACGCTTGAGAGGCCCCATAATATGAGGAAAATTTGGCTTCCATGCTTTGTCAAAAATAGTAATACCTGTTTTGAAACATACCATTATTTAATAAAATCATCAATATTTAAAAACAAAACAAAACCATTCATCTGAGACATCGGTTTTGACAAATTGGTTCCACAGCTAATCATCAATTTGTAGATTTCTGTCGAAAAAAAACCCACTATTTGGAGGTAAATGTTTATGATGTAATATTGAATATCCGGTCGGCGGTTAACAAGTTCAGTGGTCGCTTACAGAAATCTGAGTGTGGTTCTTTGAAGGGAAATATTATTGTCACTGTTGTTTTTTCTTTCAGTCAGACCATTGGTTAGGGCATCATTTACGGTAGGATAACACCACCCCAGACTCGAACCGGTTAGGGCATCATTCACGGTTGGATAACACCACCCCAGACTTGAACCGTTAGGGCATCATTTACGGTTGGATTACATCACCCCAGACTTGAACCGGTTAGGGCATCATTTACGGTGGGATTACACCACCCCAGACTTGAATTGGTTAGGGAATCGTTTACGGTTGGATTACACCACCCCAGACTTGAACCATAACACTTCGACATTCCTTCTGCAGTAAAATGTCAATGTGGTTGATACTTTTAGGGAATCTGTGTGAGTGATTTATATATCAGTTTGTCGTAACATCCATAACAGGTGTGATGGCAATGACATGCATATAAAAAGGAACTTAAAGTACATTTAGATTTGCTCCAGACTGTATTTTTTATTTGTTCGTCACTAATTTTTCATTACGGTGCTGACCGAAGTTGCAAAGTAAAAAGCATGTATGTAACAAAATAAAAATCGTCTTGTTCATATTTCGATCGATGACAGTATGAAAGTTCAAGGTTACGTTTTCTTGCTAATGAAGACGCGAAAATGATTTTTGGAAAAAAGAAGAAAGGAATTATGGGTGAATTATAGGCAACTTATTCATGTAACGTTATAGGCTGGATATATCTATCGAATTGTCGGGGGCATGCCGAGTTGTCTCCCTTACACCTTTAACTTAAAGTCGTTAGTCCTTCTTTTCAAGTCAGTTTAGACATTTTTTGAATGATGTTTCCATCTACAGTGGCAATAAAACTTGACTCTGGACGTATAATAGTATTGGAATGGGAATGAAAAGGCCACTTTTACATTTACTAGTAATTAAGTGTAAATATGCTGATAAAACTGAGCAGAAATCAATCCCTTAATTCAAGACACTAATATCATAGATAGAGTTAATGGCATGCTATTAAAAGTCATTGGTCTCTTGACTATTTACGCTACGAACATAGCTAAAAGTTAGCAAAAACTTATCAGCACACAAAATACTTTGTAGATTCGTTTTGTCTGGTTTGTCATCCGCAAGGTCAACGAGTCGTGTATGGTGTATAGAGCAACACATTTCGTTCCGAACAGCAAGCACAGTGACAGTACATGTTGAAGCAATGAGAAACATATTTTATAACGCAATTACATGCTTTTCTTGTGATATCACATTTTAATGATTTCAACAAGTACAAAAATTAGACAACAATGAGTATAATATACATAAAAATATGTGTTTAATACTGAAATGTTGCAAAATGGATATACGAACATGTAAAGTTTACTTTATGTAAAACACGGAAGATTGATAATTAAGTTTGAAGACTTAAGTCTATTTGATCACGTGAATATGAAAAATAACGTGCAGGGACGCTCATGTTATAAATAACTAAGGATGTTCCTGTTTGCCAAATCCAAGAATTCTGATGTCAACCAAACAGATCATGTGTTATACCAGCATGTTTACAGTATCAGCTCTTCAGGTGATCAGTTGTTAAATCACATGTAGAGCTAATACATTAACAGCGTGTATGAAGAATGTTACGTCTTTAGGTCAATTTACTCACATCTTTTATAATGTACTTTGATTATATATTTATAAATCTAATATCGACGATATCATTGTCGCTAAACTTAAACCATTATCATGCATGACAATGTAAGTATTTTTAAGGAAATCTAAACCTAGTAACACTGTATAGTAATCGTTTCCTTTATAAAGAGTAATCAGGTCCTGTAACATTTTGTGTTTCATTTTCAGGCATAAAAGTTGGCAGACATGTTAATATTCAGACCTTAGATGTCTGTTTCAGAACTCAGAAAAAAACAGCTCGATAGTTAATCCGTCCTGAATTCGAAGGTAAATGAGTGAGTGAATCGGTAAAACCGGCAGTAGTGACGCAGTGTGCCCAAAATGTAGACACGAAACAATTTCAGTTTTGCGTCTTGTAAAGGATTCGGTAACATCATAATATATAAAGAATGTTTGTCATCATTTGCTCAGTATTTGGAATAAAAATAGCAATACGTCGCCCGATCTATTCCGTTTCACATACAGGTTTGTTATTATTGATGTGTTATCTATGCTCAACATCTCTAAGCAATCACCAATCTTTTCATTCATATATTATATGCTTTAATTCATACAGTTAATAGTGATCTCAATTTTGAGAGTTTCGCTTAATGAGGCTGATCGAAAACAGCAGTTAGAATCATGGTCAGACCATTCATAGTATAGCAGTAAATATGCATTTTTGTTTCAATAAGCTAAATAATATATATATCTTTAAATACCTTTAAGTTAATTACTTGATACAAAATAATACCAACTTTGATCTGAAGTAAATATAATTTTCCTGTTAACTCAACTTTAAATGACTTTCTTTGTCCTGTTCTTCCTTAAGACAACCAAAATGATTTCTAATATTGAAAAAGAATAGCATTGGTATATATATTGTAGTTAAAATGAAACATTATTACTGCTGTGATGTTGCCACAAGGCTTGGCATCTGAACAGACAGGTGACATTACTAAACACTATTGGAATTACTACGTTGAAATCCTGTTTATTATTCGAGCTTCACTGATGTCATTCCCAGCCCAATGTGACTCCTCTTCAAGCTCGTCTAAGTACCTTCTGCCACTCTTGCCCCTGTGTGACTTAACGGGTGAGTCTCTAGTTGAAGATGGTGGCGTCCGGACAACCATGTATTCGTCTAAGTCTCTGTGGAGAGCGATGTCAGAGTATTTTCCACTAACGTGCGACCTACGTGTCCTTTGCCCGTTCACATCAAACATCATTTCAAGTAGGAGTTGCTCAGATGATTCACCTTTTGGTAAATTTTCCAGAACTTTCTCCGACTCTGATGGATTGTCAGTGTTCATATTTGTTATTTTCTGTACTGATTTCATGTCTAAGTTTTGAGTTCTAATAGCTACCTGTCTTTCCCTGTTTTTGAGGAGTCTGTACGGATTGTTAAAGAATCGTACTCCTTTCTTTGCGAACGACTTATTGTACTTAGGGAATTCTGTGCCGTTTTCAGGTGCAATTGTCACTTCTTGTGGATCATTATTTATATGTAAGAAAGCACTGCCAGCTTTACCGGATTCATTGGGAGCAGTAGTTGTATTGACGGTTTCCTTCTTGTCGTCTTTCGATACCCTAGATGGTGATTTTGATATTACGAAATCTCCACTGACGGACGAAGAGAAGCCCAGGTTAAGACCGTTGACCGGTTTGAAGCTTCTGCCTTTTAGTTCGAAAGATGACTTGTTTCTATCTACTGGAGATGGTCTCATGGCAGGAAAAGTGACACTCTCGCTAGCAGAGGAAGGAACAGATATAAAAGATGATGAATGCATACTTCTATTGTCTTTGAACTCTGTTTTTGCTGAAGAACTGTCACCATTTCGATTGTCTGTTGTTCTCCATGCGGGTTCACTTCGAGCTCTGGTTTTAATATTGTGGCGCGCTCGATACATCTCCTGTGCAGATGTTTTATAACTTCCCACTCTTTGGTCACTGAAGTACTTTACAAATGATTTTGAGGAACATCCATTTAAAGGTTGTCCACAAAGAACAAATTTAGGTTGATCATCTACGACCGTCCCTTCACTTGTGATATAGGGAGAGTCCATGGTGGATATTCCAAAATTTGCATTTTGAATTCTATTTAGGAAGTCCATGCGTCTTGTGATATGACTAGGCCCTGCTGGCATCTGCTCCAAAGCTTTCCTATTTGCTTTGCGCAAGACAAACTCATACGATCTATCAACGGCTGCCACATTCGGATTACTCGCTCTGTTTGCCTTTGACATTGACAACAAGGGTGACGTCGGAGTGTTCCGAGGAGCCGGCGTCCCCTTTATTTTTAGTCTATCAACCGTGCCTTGTTTTTTCATCTTTGTATCTGGTTTTGTCTTCAGAAATTATACATCTCATAGAATAGTTCCTGCAACGTACAAGAATACACAAACTTAATATGTTGTTAAATTTCAGAAAATTTGTTGTTAATTGTTATCATAACGAATCATATACTTTATCTAAATGCTTTACAAAGGCTAAGTATATATCAGTTAATAAAACGTATCTCGATATCTGGAAAACCAAACAATAAATAAACGTGTATGAATGGGACACAAAACGCTTGTTCATAAATAAGTATTGTCCTCAATATTTAGTTTGACAAGGCCCTTCAGACATTAAACAACAACTCAAACAAATCGATTTCATTGTTAATATCAATCTCACAACATTTAGAAATAAACTATAAGTTTATACGAGTTGATAATTAATGCAAAATATGTTACAGCATGTAGGTTAAGGTCACTGTTGAAATAATTGGACGTATATGGTGTATTGTTAATGGGTAATCGCCTGCTCTGTTATGCCTCATATAGAAATGCTAGAAATCAATTTATAGTTTATACACATTAAATTGCAAGACTTACTTTTTTATAAAAGTGTAATATTAGGTTTTCCTTTATAATGACCATTTGCACGCTGTAATGCACCTAAAAAAGTATATTGTTGATACATTGGGAAAATATATACAGCTTGATTATCCTGTAACGACACATACAAATAAAGATTTACAGTATAATTGACTCAATAGTATATAATGTAAATAAGATAAATATATTTCATGAGATATACATTACGCTTAGCAATACAAGGAGAAAAGGTTCTGAAATCAAGTAAAATGCAACTATTTGTCGAATTCAAATGCTCACGAAAAGAAACGTTTGAAGCAAATTGTGAAACGTATGTTTCGTGATTTAAGGTTTTCTGTCAGTTTTAATTAATGAAGTAGTAAGATGGAAGAGATGCCATAATTGCACACGAATCTGATTGGTTGACACCAACACATATTCATTACCTGACCCATTTTGAATTCTACAAGCTATCTGGCACTTCGGTATTAAACACATTCCTTTAAGGCTTTGATCCTTCTTGTTTCAATGTTTTCTGTAGTTGTATTTGAACCCAAGGTCACTTTAAACCAAGATCTGTAATAGCTTACATTAACTTACTGTTATTAAACGGGTGAATAAATGAATGCGAAAAAGATATTTATTTTCTATAGCTGTGTAATAGTAGCGATACGTGATGTATGTAGATAAATGACACTGTATTTATAATTCCCTTGATTAAATTATTGTTCATTTTTTAGTAAGAATATGTAATAAATGACATACGTATCTGATAACGACAACTCTCACGACTTACACTGATGAAACGCTACACTATTGTATCATCAGCCTTTGGATAGAGAGAAATCATTTGTTCATTCGGTAAGCATTATTGAACTTATTTTTATCATAAAGCTGCCACTATATCTATGTTAATTGAATTTGTACACGTAGGCGTTCCCATATTACACCAAAACTTACCAGTATGTAAGAAGTATCCGCAAATTAACAGTGAAGAAAGTTTAGTGGAAAGTAACTCATATAAGTTTATTTCACTAAAGGTCAATAAAGGTACAGATGAATTAATAACTTTGGTTAAATCAGAGGGTGGAAGTGAACAGGCATTGGCATTAACCATACTATAAACCTATATTATTATCAATTGAATCTAATAAAACTGTATCGATTTCATTTGTAGATATTAATATTTGATATCGCATAGCTTGGAGGCTCCTACACTGTATATACAATTCTTGATCCAGTTAATCTCTCGCTAGGTCTACCAAGACATCATTAGCGCCGAGTGAGGTGTGTCCGCTAACTTGATGACACACACAGACCTACTTTTCATTCAGTAATAACATTCGCATTTGTTCCTAACCTTAATAATATATATACAACTTATACTTTTAGATATTTCTGTATACAGATTTTCACTTTTATCTATCAACGAAATTGACTTGAAAGACAGACATATTTTTACAGAGACGGTTAAGTTGACAATACTTTGGTGATCTGTTTCGGTATGTACTACACCTAAAGCAAGTTTGTTACGGCCTCCCATAACTACCGACATTATAATAGGGTTTCTTAAATTCAATTATTTAACTTTAAGTACTTTCCGATGCAATGCCAAGTACATGTATGATATTATAGTATGCATGCTTATGTAGCATGATAAGCTGTACACTTTTATCGCAAAATCTTTAACAAACAATTAAATCAATCATCAATACCCTTTCGTACAAATCTATTAATGTGTAAAGCAAGAGCATTTGTAAATATATATATATAATATATATTGATATAGTGTATTATGATAATACAGCAGTGTATCGTTAAGTGATGGTATTATGATAATATAGCAGTGTATCGTTAAGTGATGTTATTATGATAATATAGCAGTGTATCGTTAAGTGATGGTATTATAATAATATAGCAGTGTATCGTTAGGAAAACAAGAAAACACCTAAATGAAAACAAAACCGTGAACTGCAAATGTATATTTAGAGAACAAGAAGTTTGTACCAAAATTTGTATTTCAATTATAGATGATAAAGTATAAGTCTGTTATGTTTGGCAAATTCAAGAGAATGTTTGTAAGCCAAAACTTGTTAAATCATATACATAACACAAGCAAAAAGCACGTCGATAGTAACGTGTTTTGTTTTGTCTTTTGCTTTGTGTTTTAATATTTTTTTGTTTAGTTTTTGTTTGTTTTCTTTTACCTGACGACAAAAACCAAAGAACCTTGATTTTATTTACAGTAGTACTAAAGGCATCACAATTGAGAATCAATCAGGATTTCGAAATATGCATTCATGTCAAACTGCTCTTCCTGCACTTACAAATAGATGGTATGATGAATTGGACAAGGGAAACCTCATCGGTGTAATGTATATTGATTTTCGTAAGGCTTTTGACCTTGTTGACCATAAGATACTACTCCAGAAAATGAATATATATGGATGCTCTGAAAATTCCATCATGTTTTTTACCTCATACCTTTCAAACAGATTTCAGAAAGTATCTTTCAAAAGTTCTTTAAGTGATGCCTGTGAAATTACAACTGGTGTACCTCAAGGTTCCATAATTGGGCCTTTGATGTTTTTATTATATGTCAATGATCTGCCACTCTGCTCAAAACATTGTGAACTTTTTATGTATGCAGATGATACTTCAATGCAAAAAGCAGACACAAATTTGGATGTTATCGAATCATGTCTACAAACGGATTTTAATCATGTAAAGAAATGGTGTGATGTCAACAAAATGGTCATAAATACTGATAAAACCAAAGTAATGTTAATTGGAAGTAAGAAAAAAAAACAGAGACTAAAGAAAAATCTAAATATTATAGCTGAAAATTCAAACTTGGAAGTTGTACAAAATGAAAAACTGTTAGGCGTTCGTATTGATGACACCCTAACTTGGGAAAAACATGTACAAGACGTCCTAAAGAAACTTAATTATAAAATTTATCAACTATGTAGAATAAAGAAATTCTTACCAGTATCGGCAAGAATCACTTTCCACAACTGTTTTATACTACCATATATTGACTTTTGCTCGAACGTTTGGGGACATTGCTCTCAAAAACTGGTACACAAACTTGAAAGAATTCAAAAACGAGCACTGCGGATTATACTAGATGCCGACTATACTGTTCCCGGTGCACAGCTGTTTGTAAAACTAAAATGGCTGCCTTTTACGTACAGAGTTGAATATAACGAATGTGTTCTGATGTTTAAAGTAATAAACAAGCTATGTCCAAATTACCTAGACTGCAATACTCTTGTGAGCAATGTCCATACTATCCAAACCAGGTCAGCTGCGGCAGGTAGATATGTTGTACCCAAACACAAAACGGAAAAATTCAAAAGCTCTTTTAAATATAATGGACCGACACTCTGGAACAATTTGCCAACCACTGTCTCTAAATGCCAATCACTAAACAGTTTTAAGTTCGAGTGCAAAAAACATCTCAATGTAATCTATAAAGACAAGTGTAAAGAAAATTAAAAATCTGCACCCCCTTTCCCTCCTGAAATATCTATCTGCTGTAGTACCTGGAATATGACACACGTGTATCTAAATGAAGTTTTAGAATTTATCTTAATTACTATTCCTAATGCCCTAATCAACACTTTGGTATTAACTCACGCTACATTAGCGTATATTCTGTAATTTTTTACCCTTTGTCACAATGACATGTATGTATATTAGACGCATTATGCGTTTCTTAAATCTTCTAAAATGCAGCATGAGAATTTATGCATTGCATGATATTTAGCCAACTTTTTATTTTCCAATACACGTGTGACATATTTTATTGTAAGCCTGTGTGATATCACATACCAATATATCTGTGATATGTATTACGTAGTTTTGTTATTGGATACACGATGCAGGAGTGTGTTGTTGTTTTTTGTTTTTTGTTTTAAAAATAATACAATGTTTTATTACCTGTGATATGTTACTTAATTTCTTATGTATGTACGTGTATGTCATATCCATGTTGTAAATATTGCACATTTTATGTCGACCACATGTGAGACGAGTCATTGACTCAATGTGTTATCGAATTTAAATAAAGTCTATTATTATTTATTATTATTATTATTATTATTATTATTATGTAGTATCCGACGTAAACATTCCTTGAATGTCTTCTTACTTAAACTGTTTTTTATGAAAACAATATAGAACAGAACAAAATAACAAAAAGTTTTAGTAAATCCCTTAAATCAAAGGATATTTAAATATGATTATAAACCTTAAAAATGTACAACTAAGTAACAAGCCAATGATAATTATAACACTACCATACATCCATGTACCCATTGTGACTTCCATATACATACTATTCAGACGTATGCTTGAAGTAATATCAAAGTGGATACTGCATAGCAATTTTGGTGTTTCTATTTGAATGCAGGTCTAAGTAATATTCTTTACTGTGTCATATCATTTGTATCATCATAAAATTTAAACTTGGCGCCTAGACAAACAAGTCTGATCTTAATATATATACATAACATGCATCGTTATACCTATATTTCTTTGAAAAATGTAGCAGTTATTTGTGGGTGAGTTCAAACATATTTTTAAACAGTAAGTTTATATATTTCAACAAAAAATTATAAATCAGCCCTGCCAACAGTATACGTTATGTAAATTTGTCTTTTAACTAGTAATACAGAGTAATCCTACCCATGTTTCTTGTATTACTGTATTTATATCAGTCAATAGTACAGAGTGCCACTACTCTTTATTCGTGTATGCATGTCTTGCCTACCTATCGTTCTTGTATGCCTGTATATAAACCAGTCAGTTATGTTTAGTAACATTATCATTTATTCTTGTATGCCTGTCTAGCCTACCTTTGTTTCTTGTATGCTTGTCTTTGTACCAGGCAGTTATACTTAGTAACCCTACCCTATATTCTTGTATGCCTGTCTAGCCTATCTATGTTTCTTGTATGCCTGTCTATGTACCAGGTAGTTATGTATGTCTGTCGAGCCTACCCATCGTTCTTGTATGCTTGCCTTTGCACAGAGTAGTAATACAGATTAACCCCTCCCTTGGTACTTGTATGCATTTCTAGCCTACCGATGTTTCTTGTATTTGTGTCAATGTACCAGACAGTAACACAGAGAAACCCTACCATAGGCTCTTGAATGCATTAAGCCTAGCCATCACAAACAAATGCATGTATATATGCCTTTCCTTTATAACAACTGCTGGCAGTACGATGTAAACATTTCCTACGGAAGTTATTATATTTCTGAATAAAGAATTGACGTTACCATAGAATGGCATTTATTATGAATATATTCATTCGATACTTAATCTAAACATTAACTGGTTACTCTTACCAGTAGTGAATACTCAGGACCATACAATGACATTGCCAGATACCGCAAAAGAAATGGAATGAGGATTGTATAGGTAGAAGGATGGTTAAAGGAATATGAACATGAAAAGGGGAATTAAAAAAAAGCCCAGGAGAAATACATTTAAAGACAATAACAAAAATCAGGTATTACTGATAGCATGAATAATATACCTCCAATCCTCGTTAATCAATCTGTTTTAGTTCTATGTTATAGTGACTGAATTGAGATACCTTTTGGTTTACTGGAACAATTCTAAAACTAAAACTAAAACTGTAAGCCAATGGCTAACTAATACCCTTGCTGCTATATAAACCAGAACTGTAAGCTTAAGGCTTACTAAGGCAAAACATTGCAAAGCAATCCATAGTCTCTCACCAGTAATGATTTCTTTATTGACAGAGATGTACACTTATTTAAGTATACTGGTCACTGACATACTTCCTGTACTCCTTCCCCTTGCCAAAACATACTTACTTACCAAATTTGTTAGCCCAGATGAACCAGTTTTACTAAAATTGTCCTATTAGTTAAGGAGATTGTGTCAGGATAAAGATTTTTAACAAAGGGCCATAACTCCTTAGAAAGGGTCGAAATGAAAAGAATACTAGCCTGATGCACGACATCAGGGGGTAATTACAATATCTGTAAACTTTCATTGAAATCGGCCCAGTACTTTATGAGGTAGACAAAGGTTTATTCAACAAAGGGTCATAATTCCTTTTAAAAGGTTGGAATAAAAAGCACTTCTTATATGCACAACGTCAGGGGATAGTTACAATATCTGTAAATAAAAAATGAAATTGGCCCAGTAGATTAGAAAAAGTTGTCAGGACAAGAATTTTTCAAGAAAGGGCCATAACTCCATAAAAAAAGTTTCGTTGAAATCGATCCATAACTTGAGAAGGAGTTGTCCGGACAAAATGTTTAAGGATTTTTTTCAACAAAGGGCAATAAATTCGTAAAAAGAAAGGTCAGAATGAAAAAATAATACATTGATGCACAACTTCAGGTGGTAGTTATCTTATCTGAAAAGTTTCGTTGAAATCGGTCCATTACATGTACTTGAGAAGGAGTTGTCCGGACAAAATCTTTTTACGGACAGACAGACAGACGGGCAGACAAGCTGATTCGAGTATACACCCTAACTTCCTTGCGGGGGTATCTCATCAAACACTGACTGATATCCGATTTGTGTTAGCAGAACAAAAAAATCTTGCACTGTTAACCATATTGTTCCTAATAAAAAGGCATCATCACCCTAATTTTATTAACGTTGCTTAGCTCCAATGCTTTCGTATAAAAAACGTAAGCGATTCCCTTAAGTGAGAGAATGTTAGTGAAATTGAGGCAAGGTTATATAGGATTAAATTGTTACACAATCAGGTATCCCGAACCAGTAAAAAAGCATAAGTAGGTTTAACTGACCATGTATGGTAATGGGGTTATGATCGTTTAAGTGATATCATACACAAAACGCATCGTATCACCAGTGACAAAGAGGAAGAAAAACACCACAGTGTCTACACGCAGAGACAAAAGTTCAAATCATAGCCGATATAGTAGAAAGCGACAGGAAGATAATAAACAACTTTTCAAGAGGATAACCAGTATGAAATCCACAGAAACCAGATGATCCGTATCCTGTCACACCCGTCATGTAACTTCATATAGCACCCGTCTTGGTGTTTTCGCCATTGCAGGAAGGTAAGTTGGTCCCCAACGATAAATTACAAATAAATATGTGTATACCAGTGCCGATATTGAAATACCTTCGTGAGAAATCAGGGGGTGATGACTACTTCTCTGGTCGGTATTGCTATGAAAGTCACAATGTTGATTGTGACGTCGCTAAAGTTAAGAAACAATACGTGGTGTTGTGACTAAGAGGTCGAACAAGTAAAAAGGAGTCGGTTTTACACTCTTGCTAAAATTACAACCATATTATCACTTCCCGAATGGGCTTGATAAGCATTTGGATTACATACATATTGAAACTGCTATACTCATGTTGAGTAACCTTGCTTTATAATGGCCGATTGGATTTATATGTCATCTTTTTGAAAAGACATTCTATACACAAGACAGTATTTTCAATTTACAACTTAATTGAAACGAAAACAAAATGTGGGATATTAGTTCGCTTTGAATGCAAAATAGTTTTTGAACGGGGCAACCATGATTTAAAATACAGAAATAAAAATAGGCCATTGAATGATTAAACCGATATTGCTTGATCTCATGCTTTGAATTACCTAACATAGAAGTATCAGTCATGATACGCCAAAATTGTCTGCAGGCTAAAGTGAGCATCTACACCAACATATTGTTCTCTTTAACATTAAAATTATTAAAAGAAAACAGTGTGTACGCTATCAATAAAATATGGGTCAAAACTACTGTGATATTACTCCCGCCTACATATGAATATTTCCGTTTGACGATTGACTAGAGCCGGAGATATGTGGCTAAATATTGAATGCATTGGTGCCCGTACCCTGTGTTTTATTGATCTGTCCCTGATTGACCCCATTGTGTCAGGGTGGTGATGAGCGCCCGCCAACCCGATAACATAAAGTCTTGTATCTGTGGGATCTGAACCGTACGGGCGTGTGGATACCTTACCGACCACAGGTAGAGTACTGTTTAGCCGAGGTCATGGTCACTTAAAGACATGAACGTGACACTACCGACATACATTGTATATGTAACTAACGAGGAATTCCGAACAAGACTGAGAATTACAAGGTGTCAAAACATTTGATTCTGTTGGCCTCATGGATTACACAAACGTGTCTAGTGGCACAAACAACTATTCGCTTATGTAACGTTTCAATGCGATGATCTGTGATGGTTTAGGTCGCAAACTGAACCATATTCAGAATAAAAAGCATAAGAGAAGAAAATACTAACTACGACATGATGTTATATTCTAATTTAACAGCTATGATTACGAAGAATCAATTTTCAAGTAATACTACTATCAATTACTGTTATCAATAGCTAATACCAATAAATACTATCAATAACTGCTTATAACAACTTCAATCAAATATAAGTACCTATTCTCAATATCTGCTATCAATAGTTATATAAATGTCTACCAGTTTTCAAATGACATTTGTTGGTGTGAGAACATTATACTCCGCTACAATATTAATAACTACTTTCAAAAACACCTATCAATTTATCGATCTTTATTTTCAATAAATAGAATCAATAACTAGTATTTTAAATAACTACTCTTTCAAAAACCACTAGTTATGAGGTTGCACGGTCCTATTGTACTTACCTTTATTAGCACAGGATTTTCCTTCTAGTCCATCTCAGCAGATACCCTGCACGCTCACTCCGGTTTGGTACAATACAGATTTGTGAAACATGCCCATTGTTTGTTTATAGAGTTTTACTTCATCCTTCTACGTTTCTTCTTCACTTTCACGGGGTAAATAGTTTATGTTAACTTACAATAGTTCTCATGTCATGGATTTTCCATTCATAAAAGTCTGTATCACAATAACAGTGTATCTACCGATCATGGTCGCGTCATTAAACGGTAGTTACACCTTACACCCGTTCCTTACGTCTTGGCATGACCGTGGCGGGCTCGCTGTCCTGGCAGTGAAACACTTTAATGGCTACTGTACAAGTATTTTCCAAGCCCTAAGTATCATTGGTAGACTATGAGGAAATACTGTCGATTTAAAGCTTGTTACAATTGGTGGTATCTAGACTTACGGAGTATACGAATGCCTGCTCCCAATACACAGGACCTGTTTAGTCTAGCCGCTCATGTGTGGCAGGATTATGGTGGACCGATTAAATCTTTATTAAAGCAGATACCTTTACCAGTACATTTCAAATCAGATTTAATGAATCACACTGAACAATAACCAGTACACATGCATATGTATGTAGAATATTAAAGGATCATAGGATCTAACAAATACCCTTATACAATAATTGATCCAAAATACAGAGTACAATAAAAGAAAAATTAGGTTGGAATTGTTGAACTTGTATTATAATATTAGTAACCATTTTTATCTATTAGATTATTTTCAGTGCAGTCGACAAACTGTAAATCGAACTACGTGTTTGAAACAACGACCACTTTGTTCTGAATTAAATGCTCATTTATGGCTTGGTTTATTCTCCTTAGCACCTTAAATACAAGCGTTTGTTCCACCTTATTACCCACGATGCATTGTAAAGACCATACACACCTTATTGGATGTTGTTTATTTCTAAATGCGGTTGTTTTTTCCTGTATTTAATGATGAACTGGTTTACAAGTGTCATATGCCTTCCTATTGGATTTTAAACTAGCCGAAGGCATGATACACGTGCATTGAGCAAATAGGTGACTTACATGCAAACCACAAGCAGCATAATCTCAATCTTCAATGAAGATGTATGCTCCTTGCTGTTAAAATGATTCTGAAATTCATCAAAATGTTTGTATTCTACAGATTGTTCTATAAAAACTATTTCCTGCACAGAAATATATAACTATTAAAATTATAAACATAAAGTATAAAACATTGATGCTTTTAAGGCGGAATCACATTCATACTTTGGAATACAAAATAATGTACTAACATGTCAATAATTTATTGGTATACAAACTGATTATATAAGGTACATGCCCCTACGCATAGGTGTATAACGTTACACTTTAATACATGTCATGCAGTGTAATTATAAGGTGTTGTCAGCTAAGCCATTAAGTCCCTTGTGATTTATTGGGGTACCGCAGTCGTCAAAAGTAAAGCTGTCCTATGTGTATATTTAATGTATAGTTTGTAATAAACTGCTTTATATAGAAAACATATTCTTTGGTCTGGGTAGATTTGCTTCATATTGATAAGTGACTCTCGACCAACCAAATTCTTCTTTTTTTCATATTTCATATTTCAAGGTGATATTTTTTATAATCCTTAATCACAGCACGTGGACAACAAGATACGCTGTATGGTATAGAAACGTGTTTAGTTGAATATATTTTACAATTTAATTATCTTTTTAATCATTAAGCGAAGTGTTTCAATAAAGAGTTAAAGCGTGTATCTATCTTTATACGTCCATGAAAGCAATACGGCTTCTGTAGACCAAGCAACGTTTTACTCAATCATCTCATCTCATCTCAGCCCTAAAAGTGACCGGAAGCATTAACTGGCCCTAAAAGTGACCGGAAGCATTAACTGGCCCTAAAAGTGACCGGAAGCATTAACTGGCCCTAAAAGTGACCGGAAGCATTAACTGGCCCTAAAAGTGACCGGAAGCATTAACTGGCCCTAAAAGTGACCGGAAGCATTAACTGGCCCTAAAAGTGACCGGAAGCATTAACTGGCCCTAAAAGTGACCGGAAGCATTAACTGGCCCTAAAAGTGACCGGAAGCATTAACTGGCCCTAAAAGTGACCGGAAGCATTAACTGGCCCTAAAAGTGACCGGAAGCATTAACTGGCCCTAAAAGTGACCGGAAGCATTAACTGGCCCTAAAAGTGACCGGAAGCATTAACTGGCCCTAAAAGTGACCGGAAGCATTAACTGGCCCTAAAAGTGACCGGAAGCATTAACTGGCCCTAAAAGTGACCTGAAGCATTAACTGACCCTAAACGTGACCGGAAACATTAACTGGCCCTAAAAATTACCTGAAGCATTAACTGACCCTAAACGTGACCGGAAACATTAACTGGCCCTAAAAGTGACCGGAAGCATCAACTGTATCCACGAAAGTGTACCCAGCAAATGTCAGTTAGTCAAACATGTAAAACAAGAGAGAAATTCGAACAGGTGTCATGCGATCAGACTAAACTGTAGATCGGCGGGTAACTCGAAGTACATCCAAAGCAAAGTAATAATATGGTACTGTAGGCCTTTGGAAGCCCTTGGTGGGATTCTAGCTCTCTCTTCCCTGAACCGGAAATAGATAAAACCTGTTAGATGGCATAAAGCGAGGGTTTCAGATAGTAAAAATCGTGTAATAATAATAATAATATACAACATTATTTGATATAGCGCCCTATCTAGCTAACATAAGCCACTCTAAAGCGCTTTAAAGTGCATAGATGTACAATTAATACAATTAGCATATACTTTAATCAATAAAACTAATAGAAAATATCCATCACGCAATCAGAATAGCGGTAATTTAAAGTTAAATTCCAGATAAGTACTGAAAGTTTGAACCACAATTATGTGGTTAAGTATGACAAACCTAACATTACATTGTGTAAGTGTGTTAGGCACAGAACCAAATACCACTAGAAAGTCCTTTGATTTAAGATGCTTTCCAGCCAGTCGTTCAAAGGCTCAATGAGTAGTATATGTCATCGAGGTGTACGTGATCGTATATGGTAACTTGGTGCAAAAGATAATAACAAAGCTATATTTTAGCTAAGACAAACATTCGTAAGGTCTGTCTCTGTTCGTTCTTTAAATAATGAATAATGCCATTTCTCAACATCACTGCACTGTCAACAGAGATGTTGTGAAGATCTAACATAATGCATGGTTGTAATGTATTTTGCAGTTCATTGTACAATTAACCGTCGGGTATCATTACTTTTTCATATGGGATACTGGATTTCCACACGTCTCGAAGGAACATTTCCAGTCCTCGTTTACTGATTTATACTGATCATCATTTGGTAGTGGTGGTGACGATTGGCTAATAACCATTGGATTCCTCATACAGAAGATATTAAGAACACTGTTTATTAGGCAAGCGATCGATGTGGCTAACTATATCTAAAATCAGATCTTATTTGTAATTTTTAATTTGGCCATGTCTTACCCTCTTTACCTGGTTACTAGTATGTACAGGCGTACATATAGTCTATTTCTAGCTAGGAACTATATTTAATATTAGTTATTGTCTTCTGTGCGAGAATGATCACCTTACAATGTTAGGTTACAATGGTAATCTAAAGAAAATATTATTTTGTATTTACGCCATGCCGATTAACAAAGTTTAATATTTCCAAACATATCTATACAGGTGCAATTGTTTTCCCCAAATTTTATCCATTCTGCATTTTCTACTTGCAATAGATTTTAGTCAATTTTATTCTACAAAACAATATATTGATACCAGCTTCTAACGCATTTTAGTGTACTCTTCGATCATTTATAAGCCGGGAAAATTCACTCATTTATTTTATTTTTATTGAATTAAAATGTTATTTTTTTGTATATTGATATCTGCTAATTGTCATTATATTTGGCCCATTAAGTGTTCCCCTTTAACTAATCCTTGACATTAAATCAATACAAAAACTTAGAATAAAGTATGTAATTGATTTAGGTGCTTACAACTAATAGCGAATTAATATTAATTTAAGACATACATCAGACTAACCTCCCCTTAACTGGGAATACAATTCAAAAAGTCAAATAGAAAATAACACTCTTAAACTTGACAGGAAAAGAGACAGTTACCATGGACACATGGAAACAATGAAATTGTCAAGAACCTCTACAAACGCATAGTAATCAAAACGAGGTAGTCTGGAAGAGTAAAATGTTCGTGTACTACATGATCAACAAATCTATTTGAGCACCAACGATATTTTTCTTGATTTCGACTCTATTTTGTTATGTGTTATTCGGATAGATATTTTTTTTATTTTGATATAGTAGTATATGATATCACGCAGGACCGCAGTATATATAGCAGCACATTTATCAGCAAGAGAAAGAATATGCTAAATGACATATTAATTGGATAGAGGATGGTGATTTCATAATTACTAAACGTTTTCAAATCAGGTGAAAAGAGCTAAACAAGGAACAGTCAAAATATGTAAACAACAGGGATTGTACCCGAAACTGACTGCAAGGAAGTACATTGATGCGTTCGTGCACAGCTACAGATGTAAGTACACCGGCTTACACAATCGTATCGTTAACTATCATCTACTCATTCCAAATATGGAGGAGATATTTGACCATGGGAAATCGATATGCATATGTTTAAAGAAATCTCGAAGAAATGTCTATAACAGCGGGTATGGGGACAATCTAAAATGAGACGAGTATCTACAAACATCTATTACACAATGATGTTTCTGTCATACTCTTTTTCATAAGTCAAAAATTGAATTGGGATTTATCATTTGTTGTTTACTATTCACCAACTGTCCTGTATATATCTTAGTCCATGTTTTCTTTTCATGTTTGCAATAGTATTCCCCGGGTTTGTTTTCTTTCGATTTATTTTATTTTTATTATTTTTATTACTTCCTGGTGAATAATTGTTTTTATTAGCAATTTGATGTCGCGTTTTACTCTGTTTTGGATAGTGAATACTAGAATGCAGTAAAAAACGACAATGTTTATTTGCATAACATGTTTATGCTAATAATACTTCACAAGTAAACAATCGTTCTTGTCATATATTCATGCAGATTCATCGACCTAAATATTAGTGGTTAATGATATTTGATGAGCTAGGTTTTCTTTATAAGTTGTAGAGACAAGCCAAATCACATTACTTTGGACAGAGTTCAATTGCTCTGCTATTTTGATTTTGGCCTTTGATGTACCAAAGATGTATTACCTGTAAAGTTCTGAAATTAATCCTAAACAAATATTTTCATTAAAAACGTTTTTAGGTCTAATAATTTCTTGGTCCATGTCATTTTCTTGCTAGACAATTATTAAACAAAATAACGCGAATCATAATTTTTCATAACTTAGATATGTTTTATACTGCTCCTTTTTGCTGTTTTTGTTTAATTTGGCTGATAGCAACATCATTTTTCTTTCGTAACCAAATGATCATGACTCTACTATGAGGATGCCATGTATCCTGTCAGAAGAGTGTTACTAGAGGTTTGTGGTACTTAAAAAGGAAATTACAGCCGTGGACACACAAAGCTATCAGTAACTGTTAGACAGTGAGTTCCCCGGAAAGGTAAGGGGTTCCAGCAATCCGCTTGGCGGTGACCATTCCTTTGTCAATTTCATGCAAGTAAGTCATTTACGAGTTTTAGGAATAAAAATATCTAAAATTCTATTTTGAGCGATTGCAATTATTCCTCATAGCTTTAATAATGATTTCATTTATTGCTGTTTATTCAGTTGTTGCCATACCTTTACATATTAAACGTTGATGTATTACACACAGGTATATTGGTATTGGCGACGTTTCGCTACATCAGTAATTGTTGATAGTGTGCCCGGGGTCTACCGGATATAGGGATTTTCTGATAGCTGGGGTTATTTGTGGTGTAAATATATGTAAGGTGTGATGAACTGTTACGATAACAGTAACTAGTGTGACGCTGAATTGATAAAGTTTTAGATATGTCCAGGACAGAAATCCAGCAAATAGCGTACAGGTTTCAACAAGATAAGTTAGTTCATACCTCTATGTTTTTAAATAGAAAATTAAGGAGGCTATTTATTCATAGACATAACGTCATGTATACCTATTACTAGGTTTACATTAATATAGGCAGAGGATAGTTATAATAATTTCAGTACAAATAAAAATTAAACCATTAAATCGCTATTAATGTATGAAAGTCCGTCTATTGACGTGTATTCCATAGATATACATTTTCATTATATTTTTATAAGCTTTATTTAATATCTTTTTGAGTTGATTAAATCAACAACTTAACGACCTTGATTTAAATATTTCAGATTTTTTGCAAATTACTCTTTTGAACGGACGATACACTGCCTCTCAAGTTAAGTCAATATTCTGTATCACCAAGCGAGCTTTATCAAGCAATGTGTTACCTGCCTGTATTTTACCTGTACGACCAATCAACCTTGTGTTCTACCTGTGGTCATAAGACAAATATTGGCGTGTGAACCGTAATTGTTTCTTTATAATCAAACGGTTATCGACTTTCTAGCTTGATGGATGTTGGACCATTTATAGGCCACTAATTGTGACAGCGACACGTCCATGTGATTATTGAGTGTAACGAACAACGAGGCAGATTTATAGTCTGTACCTGGGTAGTGGGAGATAATACACTCGGAAACACAGCAGGTTTTCAATGGTTATGTGAACAGTTTCCATTAGGGAATTAATAATGAGTTCAAATGGTCTCTTTACATACTGGCACTGTCAGTATGATAGGTGCAGACAGCTGTCTGTCTGGTGGAGGTAAATCTCAGCAACAGTACATCAGTGGAGAGTACAACGATATTCACAAGATATCTGAATTCAGGTAAATTTGGCTTGAAATGTGTTTTGTTTTGTTGAATCTAAATCATTATGTTAATGAATTTTGTCTTCTTTTTGTCATGTCGGGTAGGTAATATATAAGTTATATTTAATGGAGTGTGTCTGGAATCAAAGTGCAATCAAACGCAATACATCTCCAGCACGAACACAGGCATACACACATAGGGAGATATTAGCCAGGTGACATAGGACTAGTAGTTAGCGCATAAAAAGGAAGCTCCTGCAAATTCTTCAATATTGTATTGATTCATATATATGCTAATCGTATTGACTGTATAAAATTGTATTTCTATGTACTGTAAAGCGCTTTAAAGTGGCTTATGTTAGCTATATAGGGCGCTATATCAAATGTTGTATATTTACGAGAGTACATTCACCAGTACTTATGACTGTAGTTTCCAATCCCATATAAAGCCATTGTCGATATGCCTGTCATATTGTTTATTATGTAAGCGTATTGTTAGTTAAGAAGATTATCAGGACGGTAACTTAGGTTGAAAGTGATTTTAATATACCGAAGTCACACTCTGATAATAATCGAGACGTAGATAGTGCTGTACGCTCCGTGAAATCAAATGCTGGTTATCAATGCAACCCAGCTGTCCCATATCGTGTGATAAAGTACCTATAGTGTAAGTTTATGTAACCTGTGCAGTCAGTGACTTATATTGTTAATTTCCTCTGCCCTGAGTTATTTAATAGCCTTTATTGTTAGTTACTAGTATCCTGTGTGGTCAGTGACTTATATTGTAAGTAACCTCTATCCTGTGTGGTCGGTGACCTATACTGTTATTCAATATTATCCTGTGTGGTCAGTTACCTATATTGTTAGTTACCACTATCCTGTGTGGTCAGTGGCCTATATTGTTATTTAATATTATCCTGTGTGGTCAGTTACCTATATTGTTAGCCTCCAGTATCATGTGTGGTCAGTTAGCTACCAGTATTCTGTGTGGTCAGTGGCCTATATTGTTAGTTACCACTATCCTGTGTGGCCAGTGACCTACATTGTTAGTTACGACTATCCCGTGTGGTCAGTTACCCATATTGTTAGCTATCAGTATTCTGTGTGACCAGTGACCTCATTGTTAGGTACCACTATCATGGGTGGTCAGGGACCTATACTGTTACTTTATATTGGCATGGGTGGTCAGTGACCTTTATTGTCAGTTACCAGTATCATGTGTGATCAGTGACATGTTTTGTTAGTTACCACTATCCTGTGAGGCCAGTGACCTACATTGTTTGTTACCAGTATACTATGTTGCCAGTGACCTACATTGTTAGTTACCACTATCATGGGTGGTCAGTGACCTATACTGTTACTTTATATGATCTTGGGTGGTCAGTGACCTGTATTGTTAGTTACCAGTATCAAGTGTGATCAGTGACATGTATTGTTAATAACCAGTATCCTATGTGGCCAGTGACCTGTATTGTTAGTTACCACTATCATGTGAGGCCAGTGACCTACATTGTTTGTTACCAGTATCCTATGTTGCCAGTTACTTGTTTTGTTAGTTACCACTATCCTATGAGGCCAGTGACCTACATTGTTTGTTACCAGTATCCTATGTGGCCAGTGACCTGTATTGTTTGCTACAAGTATCCTATGTGGCCAGTGACCTGTATTGTTAATAACCACTATCCTGTGAGGCCAGTGACCTACATTGTTTGTAACCAGTATCCTATGTTGCCAGTTACCTGTTTTGTTAGTTACCACTATCCTGTGTGGTCAGTGACCTATATTGTTATTTAATATTATCCTGTGTGGTCAGTGACCTACATTGTTTGTTACCAGTATCCTATGTGGCCAGTGACCTGTTTGTTAGTTACCACTGTCCTGTGTGGTCAGTGGCCTATATCATTAGTTACCACTCTTATGGGTGGTCAGTGACCTATACTCTTACATAATATTATCATGGGTGGTCAGTGACATTTATTATAAGCTACCACTATCCTGTGTGGTCGGTGACCTATACTGTTATTACATGTTATCCTGGGTGGTCAGTGACCTATTCTGTTACTTTATATTATCATAGTTGGTAAGTGACCTACATTGTTTGTTACCACTATCCTGTGTGGTCAGTGACCTATACTCTTACTTAATATTATAATGGGTGGTCAGTGACATTTATTGTTAGTAACCACTATCCTGTGTGGTCAGTGACCTACATTTTTTGTTACCGCTATCATGGGTGGTCAGTGGCCTATATCATTTGTTACCACTATCATGTGTGGTCAGTGACCTATACTCTTACTTAATATTATCATGGGTGGTCAGTGACATTTATTGTTAGTAACCACTATCATGTGTGGTCAGTGACCTACATTTTTTGTTACCACTATCATGGGTGGTCAGTGACCTACATTTTTTGTTACCACTATCATGGGTGGTCGGTGACCTATACTGTTATTACATGTTATCCTGGGTGGTCAGTGACCTATATTGTTAGTTTCAACTATTTTGTGTGATTTACTTTTATTGTCAGTTTATTTTTTTTACTGTATCTACCACTACGCTCCCCTCTCTATTCAGGGACATGATTATATTATCATTGGACATTTCAAAGTAACATCAACTGGAGGTGCGTTATTCGCTTCTATAAAGATAAAACATTTAAAATGCTGAAACGAATCATGTTATTCGATCGAGTGTTTACTTTTTAAACATGTATGGGATCTTTTTGACCTTGATTACTAACTTCTGAGCGATCAGAGTATATAAATAGTCACCTTGCTCAGCGCATTATAAATTATTCCGTTTCATGCAGTATGCAGCTCCATATCTCACGCTTATGTTAACAAGACTGCACCAGGTGGCACCCCATTAACCGCATACCATAGAGGGTTCAGTTTTCTTCCCAGTAAGAGTGCACACACAGTGTAAATACATGTCTCCGAGGGGATCTAAGGACAGTATAACATCTGTACGCTGGATTGTAATTTAGGTGTTACGTCTTATGTTAAAACAGATAAGGTAAGATTTGAATGCATTGTCTCCAGTGTGTTATACACATAACTCCTAAGTTAAGATCTGTATCAACTAGATTGTATATCCCGATCAGACACCAGATAAACACTACTTGTGTAACCGCGGCCAGGTTTGGTGTATCAGGCTAATATAATATGCTTGAAAATGTCAAACAATGAAAAATTACATATAAAACACAATCATCATAAAAGTTTTGCACCTGCTTATCAATTATAGAAATGACCGTAATACCATCCAGCTTGGCGATAACAGTTTTGATACGACGGGCCTACGATGTGACATATTGATTCTAAAATAATGTCTTCTCTGTAAAATAGGCCTAATTTTGCATGGTGTAGTTCAGTAGTTACCGAGGACAGTATATGGTATACGGCAATTCATCATTGACTTTCCTATTCCGTCATTTCTGAAAATGGAACAATGGAACAGCCGTTATTTAGCAGATCTCATTAAGGTTGGTCTTTATTGCCTGATGTAACTGTCAATTTTTGTTTGGATGCGACAAGACATTTTTAAACATCTGTGTGCAAATTTTCTCACAGTGTGAACGTGGGAATCGTCCTCAGGTAAGAATGTGCCTCTGTTATTACAGTATTTGCTACAAGGATGGTGTTTACATTGTCTTCTAGTGTATCTCTTTGATGTGTTGCAATTGGACGTAGTAGCGTATGAGTGTGTCAGTACGACTGTTCCGTCTATAAAGACCTGTGTGTTACGTCAACGTTTGTCAGATACTGCAAATAACGTCTGACGAATTTGCGTAGTTTACTACAATGTAACACAACGATGTAAGAATGTTTAAACCCCATCCTACTGAAAAATAGTTACAAATCAGGCATGCCATTGATCATGTTTCTAGATACTCTCCTCTACTTACTTAAATGGATCTGACTGTCGACATAACGTGTACCACATGTGGTAGATAACATTGTTTTACCTTTTTACAGGTTAATGGTTTACGATGTTTTTCTTTTCGTTTTGATGTCCCTCTGTTGTTGTCTTTTCATAAAGACATTGAGTTCCAATGATGTCTTTTATTGTTTGTTGAGGGGAGGGAATTATAAGTTGTTTCTGTTTTGCTTAGCTTAACATGCAAAGGATCGGGGAAAGAATATAGCCTTACCCATTTAGCCCAATATCAGAATAACGTGACTGGTAGGAGTGTCATTCTAGAGTGTCCAGGTTTGACCGTTTCAATAAGATGGAACTTGAAAGTTGTCTTAGAGGGCTTCATACGACCCTGCAATCGTATGAACGTAACCGTTAACAAATACGCGAATTAGAAAATAGTATAAATGATGCTTTATGGTTGATAACAGAATTCATTCAATGTTGTCAAGATATATAATCAGTTTTCTTACATACTAGTAATTGTTTTACATATACTTAGTTTGAATGAAACAAAATGAATGCTACAAACGCTAAAAAATAAATTGTAATACCAATGGTAAATAACGTCACACATAATAGATAAGCATCACACGGGGTAGAATGTCAACTTCATAACAGTAGAAAGCTAACATCGATTGGTCAAGATAAATCGTATGTACAGCCGATGATAATCGTCAAAAAGTATAAAATACAGGTCATAAACACAAAAAGTAGATGTCGTGAACAGTAAGATATTAATTTCTCACACACTTTACAGGTGCTTGCTACCTTGACCTATCTACAAAACGTGTCATGCGCGCTATTATTCTGAAAATGTCATCATCACGTCATCACTTTGCGCAATGTTACCATAGTAACGTCAACTAATTTATCACACTTTTCATTCACCCTTGGTGATGGCATGGTGTATTGTTGTTCATCATTATATGTTATTTTCACTGTAGGAAAGCGTAGAGAAAAATGATCAAGCACTCCTACTGATACACACAGAACATTCTCAGCCTCTGGATAAACTCCGTTTTCTTCATACAGGACGAATACATCTTATGAACACAAGGTAATAAACGACATAAACAGTAAAACAATGCTATGGAAACTAGAAGATAAACGCCATCGCAGTCAAAACTTTGTTGTCACGAAAGAAAAATGATTCATTTATTTCCGATACAGCACATTTTGTGTTGTGGATGAAATATAGCGTGCATATTTCCAAGTAGTGAGACCTTGAAGCTGAATTCCCAGTGAGTCTTAACTTTGTCTCAATGTCTGGCACATGTTAAAAGTCGCTTTTAGAGCAGGCGACACGTTGTTAGGTGAAATACTTCAGTCCTAAGCCGTATCGATATTCAGGACCCTTTCCATATATTTCTCATGACGGCTTGCGATTTGATGTATGTCTGGCCTTGAAACAGACATTCACAAATTCCCATTCCTTAGTAGATGTCACGTTTATAAATAATACCGGAAATAAAGCTGATAGGACGATGTTCTTGCAGAAGGCTTATTCCATGATATATTGCCTAGGGAGTGCCTTTATAGCGATTCTAACATTGATGCTGCTCCTTCTAACACATACAGCTTAAATCATGCAAGTTGATTACTACCAGTCTGTTGAGTAGAGGTGTTCTTTTAGATATATGAAATATATCATATACACAACGTTGAAAATACATATTCAAAACAAGAATTGTTTTCGATTTCCCTTTTTATTATTCTCAATTTATTACGTTCTTGCAAATTTCTAGTATTAAGATTGATTGTTGAATATTTCAATATTGTGTTTGACTGTTGACAATAAAATAGATAAGACAACCCCTGTTTTGTATCGTCCTCCATGTCATTTATAACGCTTTACAGGTCTTATTTTTTTTCTTTTTTTTTCTTTGATTATGATAACTGAGGTGATATCGATTAGTCTGCTTTAGACATTATTAATACACAAAAATAACAACAATTATTAACACTTATTGAAGTTCATTAACAAAATCGCATATTCTCAAATTCATGTGTAAGACATTCGGCATGTATATTGAAAACAATTAATCAAATATTTTAAGCTTATATTTGTTTAAAATCCTTGCACTAATGAGTCTGCAGTTAACAACAGTAAAAACTACCACAGTATGAAAACATCAACTTTCTATAAGAGCAGAAAAAACAGCTTATCACATATGTAAAAAGTGAAAGTGAAAGTAGGTCCCCAATAAGGATAATCGTTTGTCTAAACAGTTTCTATCGTACACTAGATATTCTACCCAGTAAAATCCTTACTTTTATCTTTACAGATTTTAAGCTAATATGTATTTTGTATTATTTATGAAAGCGATTCTCCGTGAATAGCTCATTACTCATCAGATATTTCTACTATTAAGATTCACAACTAATATCTTATTTGTTTTCTAACACGGGACAGTCTCAGTTTATATCTCATTTCCTATCTTACGCTTGAGATTTCAAGCAAATGTGTGTTATCAAACATCAAGAAAGTGTATGTTTTAGTCAATATTTTAATTTCATCTTATCAAATAAATTCCTAATTAATATTTGACATGCTACAAGATACAAGTTAGTTGGAATGGGTAGCACGAATGGGGCTGGAACTAATTCTTGACTTCATTAAATATTCCATAGCATATTTCATAGTTTCATGTTTTCAATTTTATTTTAGTAGCAGTAGAGGTTGGTTATATGAAGTTTCGAAAACACCATTTTTCTCGATGTTTGTATTATTACTTTGTATATAGTTTCATTGATATCGAATTCGAAAAACGATTTTGGTTTGTTCTAATGGTCACTACATCTCTCGAAAGCACGCTCAAGGGTGACTGTTTACTATTCAATCACCCTATGAGGTTGATTTCATTTGTTTGGTTAACTGACCACTAGGTATGACGGAATGACCAGGTTTATTTGGTGTACCGAGCAATATAAATTGACATTCTTGATTGAAAAGCACTTGTTCATTTACGCTACCGGACCTCTCCTAGCGGTCTCACAATGTTGTATTTGTATTGAATTACTGTTTAGTTGTTGTGGTAAAGGATAAGCTACCAAATATAAATTAAAAATTTGTTTTTAAAAGTCAGACTTGTATGTTTAATGCTTTGTCTGGATTGTTTATCTACCGTATGTATTCAACAAAAAGCTCCAAAGTCCCAACATAAATTCATGGCTGACGCTTTTTCTAATACACAATAAGGGTTTAAAAGAGTCAGACGTTTTTTGTTCTCTAAGAGAACTTATTGAACTAAATGAATAAAAAAGAAAAGCAACAAATACAAAAACATACGGGGAAATAAACATCCAAAAAGCCGCGAAACTGCATGATCGACACTCATATTAAAATAAACCAAGAAGACACCAAACACAAAATCAAAAAGAAATTCACCATGGATAATAACAAAATAAATATGTACATATTATTTATTTGGTCAGAAATCAACACCATACCTATGTAAATTATAATGTATGTAGCTAGTAGTATAGCTCAGTCGTTCCTGGTAACCATTGATTTACCTCTCAGTTTACTAACCTCGATGACAGTACCTCGCTAGTACGGCTCAACTTTTATCGGGAAATGTACGGTAAACGAAATATTTTCCTATAAAAATCCCTCACTGTGACTGAGACATAGGTTTGTTTTACAGCTTGAGATAATATGTTACAGATTCCTTTGTAGCTCATTCGCACAAAAAAATCAATAGACCCTTTTTGTGAACTTTATGACTACATTGGTCCCGTCTGACGTGTGGTCACATTTTCCACAGGAACGCTTGTATCAAGATACAAGTTGACATGAGTAATGAGTGTAGTTTTAGGGTTATACCGCTATCCACTTCTCACGTCAACTTAGCGTGTAGGTAATTTAGATTTAAAACTTCAATTAATATTAGACCATAGTCATTGAACATGTCTTAAAGACAAGTCTTTGTGGCCGCGGTAAACAAAATACTGAGTTACGATATTTGTCACGAAAGCTCGTGTCTAAATCTGTCGTCAGTTTTATGTGAACAGCAATTCCACAGCTATTTACCCTTAAGGATCAAAACCAACAATTATCAACACGGTGTCTCGATGTTAATCTCCGAAGGTTACCTGTGAAACTAATAATGTATTTTTCTACGACATGTACGGGACCGGGATCTATCGTTCATTATTACACCTTTAAATGACGGTTGTTTATGTGTAGCTGGGTACCTCGGTACGTCTGTAAGAGGAAGTACACCGGTAACACTTCAGGTTCATTTACATATTCCAACTTGTGACAGAAGCCTACCTGATGCTTGAGCTGTCTTGACGCGGGTATTACTAACATTGTTTATCCAAGAGTTAGGGGTTCCTCAAGTGGACGGCCCTTAGATGTGAGTGTGGGTCTGACAGGGAATACTTCACATGACTTACAGAGATAGCGGGTTACCTGTCAGGTGAGACTGATATAAGTATACAATTACTGTTTGGGATTTAATGGTAAGATTTTCACTTTTTGTCCTGAAAGATCTGTATGATAATATCACACAGGTGGTAAGTCATATATCTTGCTGTTTTTCTAAACTCGGTGTTGGATTTTCTGGTATAAGATAAAAAAAAAAAGCGTCAGACTTACAACGTTTTACATTGCGTCTCCAGTCTGTCTCCTGGACAGATATTGTCTAGTTGTTATGCCAGATATTATGCATATAAATGTCCATAGCAGTACCTTGTCTATAGCGGGTTGTCTGAATCAGTCTATGTATTTTTAATGATATTTCTTTCTTTCCCTGAGAGACATTTAAAATATTTCACATTCATTATTCATAAATGCTTTGTAGGATTGAAGATGCATAGCAGATTGTATATTTTTTTCTATATGTACAAAAAGAACCAGTTCATCACAGTCGCCTTTCAATACTTTAACGGGAATATTTTACGCGCCGACATCATGTTTGAACCTGACGTTTTTGACTAATTTGAATGTATTTTGGGTTGTTGATACATTTTATATCCCGATACACGGTTTAAACGATGTGCAGTCAATAGCGACACGATGTTTCAATGAGCGCGGATCTAGGGTTGTCGATCCATGTTTGTATACGTGCTGAATGTATATAAAACGTTCTATGTCTGTTATATACAGATACATGTATGTATAATTATACTTAGTATCCGGATTTGTATTTGCTTATCTAATTGATAAGATTTAATGAAAATGACTAAGTATATAGAAGCTGAGACAGGTAATAATGTTTTAGTGAATCAACCTGTAATCTAAAACCAATCCTACGTTTGTATATTATTGATATTAAGGTGATCCTATTAGTCAGTATACGACAATGAGTTTACTATGCTTGACGAAGGTAAATAGTGTATTTGTGTTAAATTTACTATTTGTATGGCGAAAATTCACACTTTCGTATCCTTGTATAGTGTAATTGTGTCTAGTCATGTCATTAACAATCAAGATGGAGTGTCACCTATCTACAAACAAACAAAAAACTAAATGTCTTATACCGACTTGTTCCATTAACCTCATATAAAGTACTTTTTATGTAAAATTCTATATATACGAGTTTTGCCTGCATAATGGTCGCTATAATTGTGTTATTTGATAAGTATATATTACTGTCTTGTCATTGATATATAAACATTTACACATATTTCTTACTTTCTGATATATGTATACGTGCAGAGATATCATTGATTTAACACTAATATGATATTGCTCACATTAGAAACAGTCCTTTTGGGTTACCGAAGATAGTATAAACGAGATGACCTGAACTCAGCAGACTAATACATCTGTTAGGATATATACCGTTATGTACCCGCTTATAGTCTACAAAGGGAAATCACAGTACTTTCAAAGGCCATAAAACAGTATAAGACTTTATCACAGAATACTTTTCCATTCACTCAGTTGTGACAGGCTTAGATTCGCTACAAAGATGTCAAAGGGGATGTTTAACACTACGCTAGGTCTCCTTCAGTCTGCTGACCCCCGTACTACCGGCGTTGATATATAATATACCTGGATGTCATAATATTCCTCCACTACTCACACAACACAATGCACACCTGACAAACCTTACAATATACGCCTAGCACATTACACCCTATAAATGATCGAACTTCTTCAATTATAATTAATTTGAAATGATCAACAAGTCCGCGCCATTAACAGTGGGTACGCTCTGTACACATGCCAAACAAAGGCGTCAACCTGTGGCTCCACCAGACGTATTTATAGGGAGTTTATTTACCCCGGCACTGCAGTGTAAATCGGCTTTTTACATTTAAATTCAGGTAGATGTATTTATTTAATAGAATCTTTTCACTTGCGTTAAATACCCGGTAAGAATTTGTATGCCGGTACAATGCGTTGTTATAATCGGATATGTTTAGTAAGGATTTTCACTACGGATTTGCCTGTTGTTGATTAACAGAGCACCCAACGAAATGAGATATAACGGTGTATTACCTTTCTACTTTCAGGACGTACGTTTGATATATGAGGAGGAGGTGTGTGTTCCTCTTCTACCAGTACCACTGGGCTAAGATTCTACGTCACAACCGGCCATCCTTGTGTTGTTCTACATTCCACTACTGACAATCCCTTAACCGTTGATATATGTGCTACATGATTAGGACCTGTGTACCATGAATTTCGATTTTCGAATAGGAGATCAAAAACTAGAAATATATTTACATATAAGAACTGCGACGGAGTTACTGTGAATCAACAAAATGTCTGTTCAAATGGCAGACAATCCTGCGCCGCCTAAAGGTGGTTTAGGTTCCTTTTTGACGGAGAAAAATCTAACAAGGAGGTTCGAACCTAGAGCGTCGATAAACAAACGCCGCCAAGAGAAAGACATAATAGAAAACATTTCACGGCGCATGTTCCCTGTCGGTGTTCGCGCACCTTTGTTGACGGATATACCAGCATCAGATAATCGTGGAGATACCAGCTTCCGGTTCGATGTTATAACCCAAAAACGGATCCCTCGACCCATGAACGATCAATTGTCTTCTTCCTTTAGTCCACGCAAGCGGACACCCAACAATAGATCACAAAACTCGTCCAAAGCGCCATCTTTAATGTCCCCTAGAGCGATTAAATTTATGCTATCAGACGGATCATTTAAAGATTCTAAGACAACCGATGGAAAAAGTAGTCAGCCGGATGCTTGGGAGCAATGGAAGGAAAACATTGCACGTGCCAAAGATGCACGTGACCGGATGTACCGAAATACATACTGTTTATCCAAGGACAAATTACGATACCACGTGTGTACGTTGCCTCGGATCACGACCGACAGACCTTGGACGGTCGGCGAGATTCCTTTAGACAGCAGTAGAAAAAACATGGTATTGGAGCGACAAGTTAATGATGTCGTCCTGTCTAACAGGATGATAGTACCCCAGCCGGAAAGGAAGCGAGTCGAATCAATACAGATAAAAGGACTTCAAAAACAAAACACAATGGACTCGGTTGCAAGTGAAAATTGCTTTGAAGTCCGAAGAATAGAAGCAAGCACTGAATTCCTGAAAGAAAATGCCGGGCAGCTTACAACAGTCGTCAGACAGCCGAGTGATATGGGACGACTGTATGAATCTGCATCTACAAAAAACCGGCGACTCGAACGACCATTGAAACACGAAAACTTGAAACACAGACCAGCGCAATGGGGAACTAAAGTTCCGATACGTCTGAGAAAACATGCGACCCAGGGATATATGGACAGGGATTATAAATCTGTAGAAGCCTACAAGGAGTATGTGGAGCTGATGCAACAGCGGGGAGTAGAAGGGAAGAGCACTGAGCACAGGTCAGTAGACAAGGATAGTAGTTTGGCGTCCAAATATGGGTACGAAAACAGGGTTTTACAATCAGTCATTGACGTCAACCAGCCAAACCCGGGTAACGGGGCGGACAGTAGGAAGTCGGCCAATCACGCCAACTCAATCGTAATTGAAATAAAACCAACATGGGACGAACATGAGAGTCGTTCAAGTGAGAAACAAGCGCCTTCTGACGATGGTAGGACGTGTCCTGTCAACTCCCCTTTACTCGGAACTCATGATGAGAAAGGTGAGCTTCTGGCGGAAGTCGAACATGTACCAGAGTGAATGCGATTTTGAAAAGCAATACGCGTTATGTTTACTTGATGTATAGACAATCAGTTACGCTTGTGGAATTTTAACTCAACTATGGAACACGACAATGTTCATTGACTGTTTTCCCGTGAATCAATGAATTGCTTTGACATTCCTGTATCGTCAGTGGTGAGCCTAATAGCTAACGTAGCGGTTAGTTAGTTCTATAGAATACCAGTAACCCAATAACATTGACAGAAACGGCAGTGCCATTACTTCCTTTTGTTTTACAGCACTGGTCTATAAAACAAATTTCGGCTGAAACAGCTGTAATTAACCTTGAACGTGTCTCATTTCATCACAAGAAAAACATTATTGTTGTCAGTTGTTTACAGGATAGCAACCTATTGGTGAAACAAAACATTTATTAATGCATCCATACATTGATACATATGCGGAAATATCGACAGTACACTATTGCTAATGGATGGCTTTGATGAAGTCGGAATTGGCTTATCATATATGATATTCTCCAAAACCGTAATTCATGTATTTACAATGCCAATTGAACATTAAACTATTTTACAGAAAATATAAGATTGTTTTCTGTCAGTCATTTCCTTACTTTAACAATAACGCTCTGTGTAAGAAAGTTTGATTAACAAAAGTTGTTGTCAATTTACAGGTATATTTTCAGCAAGGTTATAAAAGATTAAAAATAACCTAGTTCCTATCTGTTATAACGTCTGTTATACAATGTAACCTCGTTAGTCTGGTTACAATTTAGTGATGACAGAAAACCTAGTTAGTCCGGTCAAGCTAGTTTGTGATAAAAAAAACTTTGTTAACAAGGTTACGTTGGTATGTGATGGTTAGCCCGGTAAAGTTGGTTAATGATGATAAGAACATTGTTAGCCAGGTTACGCTGGTTTGTGATGACAGGAAACCTAGTTAGTCCAGCCAAGCTAGTTGATGATGATAGGATCTTTGTTAGCCAGTTAACGCTGGTTTGTGATGACATGAAACCTTGTTAGTCCGGTCAAGCTGGTTTATGATTATAGGAACTTTGTTAGTCTGGTCACGCTAGTTTGTAATAACAGAAAACCTAGTTAGTACAGCCAAGCTAGTTGATGATGGCATGAAACCTAGTTAGTCCGGTCAAGCTGTTTTATGATTATAGAAACCTCATTAGTCGGCCGGTTACGCTGGTTTGAAACGACAGGAAACCTGATTAGTTCGATCAAGCTTGTTAATGGTGAGAAGATATTTGTTAGCCAGGGTTCGCTGGTTGGTGACGACAGGAAATCTGGTTATTCCGTCAAGTTGGTAGGTAACGATAGAAGTTTCATTATTCCAGTTACGTTTACTTTTGTTCGCCAGGTAACGCTGGTTTATGATGACAGGAAACCTGGTTAGTCCGGTCAAGCTGATAGGTGACGATAAAATCTTAATTATTCCAGTTATTTTAACTCCATGTAAGGCCAGACTACAGAAAAAATGGAGTCATTATCGGTTTTTTTTAGTTCTGTAAATCTCTCGATTTTGCGAGTAATATGGTGATTCAAACACTTTTATTAATATGAAACAGCAAACATTTCATGTGGAGAAACGAACTATGTTTTATATACATGTATGATAACGACAGTAACATAAAATTGAGTGCTCAGAGAGATGAAACTGTATGGAGCCGAACAAGATACATATGTCAGATAGCTTCGTCTCTAGATTGGTGGCTGATATATATATTGCTGTAAAATGGTAAAATGTCAACAGCGACAATCCAATTAATCAAACAAATTGTAGAAACGAATTGTACTTGATCTGTCTTAGTCTTTGTTTCAATGTTCCATATCTTAGTCTTTGTTTCATCAATGTTCCATATCTTAGTCTTTGTTATATCAATGTTCCATATCTTAGTCTTTGTTATATCAATGTTCCATATCTTAGTCTTTGTTATATCAATGTTCCATATCTTAGTCTTTGTTTTATCAATGTTCCATATCTTAGTCTTTGTTATATCAATGTTCCATATCTTAGTCTTTGTTTCATCAATGTTCCATATCTTAGTCTTTGTTTCATCAATGTTCCATATCTTAGTCTTTGTTTCATCAATGTTCCATATCTTAGTCTTTGTTATATCAATGTTCCATATCTTAGTCTTTGTTTCATCAATGTTCCATATCTTAGTCTTTGTTTCATCAATGTTCCATATCTTAGTCTTTGTTTCATCAATGTTCCATATCTTAGTCTTTGTTATATCAATGTTCCATATCTTAGTCTTTGTTTCATCAATGTTCCATATCTTAGTCTTTGTTTCATCAATGTTCCATATCTTAGTCTTTGTTATATCAATGTTCCATATCTTAGTCTTTGTTTCATCAATGTTCCATATCTTAGTCTTTGTTTCATCAATGTTCCATATCTTAGTCTTTGTTTCATCAATGTTCCATATCTTAGTCTTTGTTTCATCAATGTTCCATATCTTAGTCTTTGTTTCATCAATGTTCCATATCTTAGTCTTTGTTTCATCAATGTTCCATATCTTAGTCTTTGTTTCATCAATGTTCCATATCTTAGTCTTTGTTTCATCAATGTTCCATATCTTAGTCTTTGTTTCATCAATGTTCCATATCTTAGTCTTTGTTTCATCAATGTTCCATATCTTAGTCTTTGTTTCATCAATGTTCCATATCTTAGTCTTTGTTTCATCAATGTTCCATATCTTAGTCTTTGTTTCATCAATGTTCCATATCTTAGTCTTTGTTTCATCAATGTTCCATATCTTAGTCTTTGTTTCATCAATGTTCCATATCTTAGTCTTTGTTTCATCAATGTTCCATATCTTAGTCTTTGTTTCATCAATGTTCCATATCTTAGTCTTTGTTTCATCAATGTTCCATATCTTAGTCTTTGTTTCATCAATGTTCCATATCTTAGTCTTTGTTTCATCAATGTTCCATATCTTAGTCTTTGTTTCATCAATGTTCCATATCTTAGTCTTTGTTTCATCAATGTTCCATATCTTAGTCTTTGTTTCATCAATGTTCCATATCTTAGTCTTTGTTTCATCAATGTTCCATATCTTAGTCTTTGTTTCATCAATGTTCCATATCTTAGTCTTTGTTTCATCAATGTTCCATATCTTAGTCTTTGTTTCATCAATGTTCCATATCTTAGTCTTTGTTTCATCAATGTTCCATATCTTAGTCTTTGTTTCATCAATGTTCCATATCTTAGTCTTTGTTTCATCAATGTTCCATATCTTAGTCTTTGTTTCATCAATGTTCCATATCTTAGTCTTTGTTTCATCAATGTTCCATATCTTAGTCTTTGTTTCATCAATGTTCCATATCTTAGTCTTTGTTTCATCAATGTTCCATATCTTAGTCTTTGTTTCATCAATGTTCCATATCTTAGTCTTTGTTTCATCAATGTTCCATATCTTAGTCTTTGTTTCATCAATGTTCCATATCTTAGTCTTTGTTTCATCAATGTTCCATATCTTAGTCTTTGTTTCATCAATGTTCCATATCTTAGTCTTTGTTTCATCAATGTTCCATATCTTAGTCTTTGTTATATCAATGTTCCATATCTTAGTCTTTGTTATATCAATGTTCCATATCTTAGTCTTTGTTATATCAATGTTCCATATACTACGATAATATTCTGTGGTGAAAAGGTTGGAGGACTTCAACACACTTGTGAAAACTTGATACTACTCAATACAAAGGTAGAATTAAACCAGAAAAATGGAAGACAAAGTACGAAAACATGATGAAATTACAACGTATTATTACATGTATCATTACTATCAAGAAATGTTCAATCAAAACTTTCTAAAAAAACGTCTTACTCTGACTTCGATTCTATCCCGATGTGTTCATTTGAGTACAGTACATTCAATCTTTAAAAATCAGTCTTTCAAATTAACGAACCGAGTGTACGAGCGATTTTTAAATAACTTGTACAGTGCATAATCTTTCGATTAGTAGGATTTTGTACCTTTTTAACTACATATAATAAAACTCGTGTTGGCTTAATTATTTAACCCAACTTGTGTCGACTTGGTTATTATATACTGGGCGCGTTAATCAGGTGTGTGTAAGGCTCTTAAGCTCTTCACATTGCTCAGGTACTTCATACTACAGGGCCAGTTTTCATTAAGGATACACACTGCCTTCTTTCTCTTTTCATCTGTAATGGAATGCAAATATACGCACTATTAGAATAACGTTTTCAGACATGTGACACCCATACAAAAATAACAAAACTCAATCACAAATAGACTGTAATACATTGTATAACACACATTTATAGACTGTAATACATTGTATAACACACATTTATAGACTTTAATACATTGTATAACATATATTTATAGACTGTAATACATTGTATAACACACATTTATAGACTGTAATACATTGTATAACACACATTTATAGGCGTTAGAATACTACATCTGAGTTTGGTTTTGAAAACCGGTTTTTTCTCTGAGCAAATAATCACATATGCGGACGAAAGAAGATCAAAAATAGCGATTTTTTCACAAGTTTCTCATCAAGATGTTTGAAAATAAAATCCTCCTTATTTCGATACCAAATGCATGAATACTTCAAGCATTAAATTATTTTATATTAATTTTTAAATCAGCACACACACAAAAAGAAAAATTAGGTAAGGTTTTGATCTTCTTTTCGAGAAACTATTTAAGCAATTTAAACATTTTCTAAACATATATTACCCCTCACTCACCCATTTACTCACACCAGGATCAGGAGAACCATGTACAAGCCATGTAAAGTGTAATATCGACTCCCTTGTCCCAGGGAACTGTAAGGTAACAGGCCCAGACGTACATATAATGTAAAGCCGTGCATCGTGATATAGGGCACCTCACATAAGCTTGATGAGCTTGAATTAGCAAGATACAGAAATTTGCCGGTTTTTGAACTTTTAAAAATCCACATGTTGAATATTGGTTTATTGTCAACTGTCGAGAAAGTATAAAAACATGTACAAATGTAGACGCACATCTACATTTTGCCCACTAAACTAAATGATTAATAAAATTATTCATTAAAAAAAAAGGATTTCGTATCAAAATAATACAGGAAGCAGTCTGTCCAGCCCTTAAAAAATGTACTATCGCGTAAAACTTTGTCTATCTTACGAAGAGGAAGCATTTTTTAACATAACCATAAAGTAAAGATTGTGGTGTAAATTAATGACGCCCCATTTGTCCTTGAATGGGTTTAAAAATGTGTTGTCTGATTTTAAACAACATGATATAATACCTTCTTGGGTGCAAAAATGAAAAACGGAAAGAAAACGGGGCCAGGAATAATGTTAGTTTTCCATAGGTAAGGGTTGACCCCCCGCCATCTAAACATTATTTTTATGTATTTGTAGAATACGGAACAGTTTGTTATTAACCCTATGTAGGACATTTAAGATAGCTGGCCCATGTATCATGAAACTGTAGTGCTATTCCAGATTTTGTTCTTCGAACAATCGAAATCAATAGATTATTGTATTTCTCCCACAGCATCGGAACCACTTGTATGTAAGGATTTTAAAACATGATGCGATATTTCATTTTCCGATAGTGATATTTGTTTCCCTCATCCTAAACCAAACAATAAGTGTTATCGATTGGATTGAATTATTCCCGTCGGATAAACTAAAAGGACAAAGCTTTTGTAAGTGAAATATGAATCTTTGCAAGCACAATCGAAATGAAATGTGCAATTCCATCGCATAATGGAAATCCATTTCAACATGTATATAATTCAATGTCTACTATCCTTCTTTACTTACGGTATGAAGATTTAATCCCTTTCGGACGTACTAGTATTTACAGTTCGTGTTCGTCAACATAAGTCTCCTACAAACAACTAAACTTGTTTTGTTTAAAATAAGTCGTGCATGACTGCAGTATCAACTGATTGAGATAGATGTGTACGTGTCGGATTATCTTATTTTAAGTTAAATAAACTTTGATATAATTACTAGATACGATAGCAATAGCATATGTGTGTCCCAATCTGTAGTCTCCGCAGCTGTGTTCCAATATACTCTATCTGTGTTCCCTACATAGTATACTTCATTTAAATATATTCCCTTAGACTCGATAGCTGAAGGTGTTACTAAATCTCCATAGTTATCCCCAAGCATCAATAGCTGTGTTCCAATATACTCTATCTGTGTTCCCTACATAGTATACTTCATTTAAATAGATTCCCTTAGACTCGATAGCTGAAGGTGTTACTAAATCTCCATAGTTTTCCCCAAGCACAAATATATTTCCTTATACTCGATAGCTGAAGGTGTTTCTAAATCTGCATAGTTTTCCCCAAGCGTCAATAGCTGTGTTCCAAAAACGCCATATAATATGATCTCTATACTCCATAACTATGCTGCCTGGACTTCTCGATTTGTCCTCTAGATTCTATGGGTATTATTTAATAGAATGTCTATAGCTGTTTCCCTAAAACTCTGTAACTGTACCCCCATAGCTTCTAATGACATGAATATAACAGCATAACAGCAAATTTCTCAATTTCATTTATGTGCAGACGTAATAACAGTTGCCATCCGAAAATGTACATGAGGCTACTCTAACACACTGAACAAAAAAACAAGCGATCTTTTAGTTTCAAGGAGGTAATTTCAAAGAATGTTCATCGTTCACATACACGACATTTCAATCGGATTTCCTCATCTGAATAATGTTTACTCCATTTGTAAACGTGAAATATCCAATGTTATTCGTTAGAAATTCCGGATGAAAAGACACCAAGCGGTAAGCGTGATACCTTTTGCCAATTCTTTACTATGACGTTCTTCCCATTGTGACGTCATATCCATTGTCACGTCACGAGCTGGTTGTCAGGCACACTCAGGCGGGGCTGATCAGCAAAATGTCGGCAATCTATGGACAGGATCCTCTCTCACAGTTTGCGAGGTAAGACCAGAGACGTACCAGCAACATACACCACCATCATTAGCAATAAGTAGTGTACAATTGTGTAGGTTATTTGTATACGTCTTCCTCGTGCAATATATCAATGCTAGCCTACTTAAATCTACATGCGGCATGGGTTTTACCAAGTCATTAAGGAATCTGTTTTTTCAACAACATATTTACACGTTGATGAACTATCAACATAACTTAAGTCATTTTTAATAACATTATATGTTTTACGTTGGATTTTTGGTGAGTTCTTATCATAAAATATTTTAAAAAAAGGACAGGGTTTACAGAAGTTTAAATATTTCTAAATATCAAACTTTCATTACTGTCTCCTATTTAACTGTTTCTGTAATGGGTTACTGTTTCCTTTTTAACTGTTTCTGTAGTTGGTTACTGTGTCCTATTTAACTGTTTCTGTAGTTGGTTACTGTGTCCTATTTAACTATTTCTGTAATGAGTTACAACTGTCTCTTATTTTATTATTTCTGTAATGAGTAACTGATTCCTATTAAACTGTTTCTGTCTCCTATTTAACTATTTCTGTAATGGGTTACTGACTCCTATTTAACTATTTTTGTAGGCCTAATTGGTTACTGTCTCCTATTTAACTATTTCTGTAATTGGTCACTGTCTCCTATTTAACTGTTTCTGTAATTGGTCACTGTCTCCTATTTAACTATTTCTGTAATGGGTTACTGACTCCTATTTAACTATTTCTGTAATTGGTCACTGTCTTCTATTTAACTATTTCTGTAATTGGTCACTGTCTGCTATTTAACTATTTCTGTAATTGGTTACTGGCTCCTATTTAACTATTTCTGTAATGAGTTACAACTGTCTCTTATTTTATTATTTCTGTAATGAGTAACTGATTCCTATTAAACTGTTTCTGTCTCCTATTTAACTATTTCTGTAATGGGTTACTGTCTCCTATTTAACTATTTCTGTAATGGGTTACTGTCTCCTATTTAACTATTTCTGTAATTGGTCACTGTCTGCTATTTAACTATTTCTGTAATGGATTACTGTCTGCTATTTAACTATTTCTGTAATTGGTTACTGGCTCCTATTTAACTATTTCTGTAATGAGTTACAACTGTCTCTTATTTTAATAATTCTGTAATGAGTAACTGATTCCTATTCAACTGTTTCTGTCTCCTATTTAACTGTTTCTGTAATGGGGTACTGACTCCTATTTAACTATTTCTGTAATTGGTTACTGTCTCCTATTTAACTGTTTCTGTTGTTGGTTACTGTGTCCTATTTAACTGTTTCTGTAGTTGGTTACTGTGTCCTATTTAACTGTTTCTGTAGTTGGTTACTGTGTCCTATTTAACTGTTTCTGTAATTGGTTACTGTCTCCTATTTAACTGTTTCTGGTGTTGGTTACTGTGTCCTATTTAACTGTTTCTGTAATTGGTTACTGTCTCCTATTTAACTGTTTCTGGTGTTGGTTACTGTGTCCTATTTAACTGTTTCTGTAGTTGGTTACTGTGTCCTATTTAACTGTTTCTGTAGTTGGTTACTGTGTCCTATTTAACTGTTTCTGTAGTTGGTTACTGTGTCCTATTTAACTGTTTCTGTAATTGGTTACTGTCTCCTATTTAACTGTTTCTGTTGTTGGTTACTGTGTCCTATTTAACTGTTTCTGTAGTTGGTTACTGTGTCCTATTTAACTATTTCTGTAATGAGTTACAACTGTCTCTTATTTTAATAATTCTGTAATGAGTAACTGATTCCTATTCAACTGTTTCTGTCTCCTATTTAACTGTTTCTGTAATGGGGTACTGACTCCTATTTAACTATTTCTGTAATNACTGGCTCCTATTTAACTGTTTCTGTAGTTGGTTACTGTGTCCTATTTAACTGTTTCTGTAATTGTTTACTGTCTCCTATTTAACTGTTTCTGTAATTGGCTACTGTCTCCTATTTAACTATTTCTGTAATTGGTTACTGGCTCCTATTTAACTGTTTCTGTAGTTGGTTACTGTGTCCTATTTAACTGTTTCTGTAATTGTTTGCTGTCTCCTATTTAACTGTTTCTGTAATTGGCTACTGTCTCCTGTTTAACTATTTCTGTAATTGGTCACTGGCTCCTATTTAACTGTTTCTGTAGTTGGTTACTGTGTCCTATTTAACTGTTTCTGTAATTGGTTAATGTCTCCTATTTAACTATTTCTGTAATGAGTTACAACTGTCTCTTATTTTATTATTTCTGTAATGAGTAACTGATTCCTATTAAACTGTTTCTGTCTCCTATTTAACTATTTCTGTAATGGGTTACTGACTCCTATTTAACTATTTCTGTAATTGGTTACTGTCTCCTATTTAACTATTTCTGTAATGAGTTACAACTGTCTCTTATTTTATTATTTCTGTAATGAGTAACTGATTCCTATTAAACTGTTTCTGTCTCCTATTTAACTATTTCTGTAATGGGTTACTGACTCCTATTTAACTGTTTCTGTAATTGGTTACTGTCTCCTATTTCACTTTTTTTTGTAATGAGTTACAAATGTTTCCTATTTAACTGTTTCTGTAGTTGGTTACTGTCTCCTATTTAACTGTTTCTGTAGTTGGTTACTGTGTCCTATTTAACTGTTTCTGTAATTGGTTACTGTCTCCTATTTAACTGTTTCTGTAATTGGTTACTGTCTCCTTTTTAACTATTTCTGTATTTGGTCATTGTCTCCTATTTAACTGTTTATGTAATTGGTTACTGTCTCCTTTTTAACTGTTTCTGTAAATGGTTACTGTCTCCTATTTAACTTTTTTTTATTGAGTTACAATTGTCTCTTATTATTTCTGTAATTTGTTACTGTCTCCTATTTCACTTTTTTCTGTAATGAGTTACAACTGTCTCTTATTTTATTATTTCTGTAATTAGTTACTGTCTCTTATTTAACTGTTTCTGTAATGAGTTACAACTGTCTCCTATTTAACTATTTCTGTAATGGGTTACTGTCTCCTATTTAACTATTTCTGTAATGGATAACTGTCTCCTATTTAACTATTCCTGTAATTTGTTACTGTCTGCTATTTCACTTTTTACTGTAATGAGTTACTGTCTCCTGTTTAACTATTTCTGTAATTAGTTACTGTCTCCTATTCAACTAATCTTATTTAATCATTTGTGTCTCCAATCCTGTTCCCAGTCGGACCCTCCCGTAATGTTATACACTCATCTCAATTTTTGCACTTCTGTACTGTTTGCAATTCACCTCTTTTCACAGAAGTGTTTTTTGCTGTTATTAATCGACTTCTGCTGTCAATGAATATTTGCTGGTAACCCCCATCGGTCCAATTCAATAACGTTTTATTATCTCCAAACGACCTCCTGTAAGTTAATTGCTTGTGCTGGCCTCAGAACGGCTCTGGTTCCTCTAGGGCCTGAACTAGCGTTACGGGCTTATATGTACATTCAGAAATCCACATTTGATATAGTTATCGCCGATTTAATTACTCAAATCTCTTGATTTTGCATTTAGAACTGACCCCCGGGCTACCGTTGCAGTTGTTTTTCTATATGAAAAGCAATTTAATCAGTATCTTAATGCTTAATAATCAAATGTTATCTCTTGTTATCTGTTGCCTTAGTAAAATGCTACCAGAAACCGTCAGCCACCTTCGCCTTTAAAATCAAAATATTTTTTTCATGAATGATGATTTCACATTTTATCATGAAAGGCTAAGACTGACTAGTACCCTCAAGTGTGACATGCTGCTGAGTGGCTTAGACTGACTAGTACCCTCAAGTGTGACATGCTGCCGAGTGGCTTAGACTGACTAGTACCCTCAAGTGTGACATGCTGCCGAGTGGCTTAGGCTGACTAGTACCCTCAAGAATGACTTGCTGCCGAGTGGCTTAGACTGACAAGTACCCTCAAGGGTGACATGCTGCCGAGCGGCTTAGACTACTACCCTCAATTGTGACATGTTGGCGAGTGGCTAAGACTGACTAGTACCCTCAAGTGTGACATGCTGCCGGGTGGCTTAGACTGACTAGTACCCTCAATTGTGACATGCTGCCGAGTGGCTTAAACTGACTAGTGCCCTCAAGTGTGACATGCTGCCGAGTGGCTTAGACTGACAAGTACCCTCAAGGGCGACATGCTGCCGAGTGGCTTAGACTAGTACCCTCAATTGTGACATGTTGCCGAGTGGCTTAGACTGACTAATACCCATAAGTGTGACATGCTGCCGGGTGGCTTATACTGACTAGTATCCTCAATTGTGACATGCTGCCGAGTGGCTTAAACTGACTAGTGCCCTCACGTGTGACATGCTGCCGAGTGGCTTAGACTGACAAGTCCCCTCAAGGGTGACATGATGCCGAGTGGCTTAGACTAGTACCCTCAATTGTGAAATGTTGCCGAGTGGCTTAGACTGACTAGTACCCTTAAGTGTGACATGCTGCAGGGTGGCTTACACTGACTAGTACCCTTAATTGTGACATGTTGCCCAGTGGCTTAGACTGACTAGTACCCTCAAGTGTGACATGCTGCCGGGTGGCTTATACTGACTAGTACCCTCAATTGTGACATGTTGCCCAGTGGCTTAGACTGACTAGTACCCTCAAGTGTGACATGCTGCCGAGTGTCTGAGACTGACAAGTACCATTACGTGTGACATGCTGCCGCATGACTTAGACTGACAAGTACCCTCAAGGATGACATGCTGCTGAGTGGCTTAGACTGACTAGTAGCCTCAAGTGTGACATGCTGCCGAGTGGCTTAGACTGACAAGTACCCTCAAGGGTGACATGCTGCCGAGTGGCCTAGACTAGTACCCTCAATTGTGACATGTTGCCGAGTGGCTTAGACTGACAAGTACCCTCAAGTGTGACATGCTACCGGGTGGCTTATACTGACTAGTACCCTCAATTGTGACATGTTGCCGAGTGGCTTAGACTGACAAGTACCCTCAAGTGTGACATGCTGCCGAGTGTCTGAGACTGACAAGTACCATTACGTATGACATGCTGTCGCGTGGCTTAGACTGACTAGTACCCTCAAGTGTGACATGCTGCCGAGTGTCTTAGACTGACAAGTACCATTACGTGTGGCATGCTGCCGAGTGACTTAGACTGAAAGGTACCCTCAAGGATGACATGCTGCTGAGTGGCTTAGACTGACTAGTAGCCTCAAGTGTGACATGCTGCCGAGTGGCTAAGACTGACTAGTAGCCTCAAGTGTGACATGCTGCCGAGTAGCTTAGACTGACTAGTACCCTCAAGTGTGACATGCTGCCGAGTGGCTTAGACTGACTAGTACCCAGAAATGTGACATGCTGCCGAGTGGCTTAGACTGACAAGTACCTTTTGGTATATTGTTGTGACTGCTAACATATTATCGATGTTTTCAGTTTGCGTCCATAGTTAACACCAATACAAAATAGAATGACAACAGCTATCTTTCAATATTTTTACTATTCCTTCTTTTCCCTGGTTTTAAGTTACACATTAGAACAACATGTATCTTATATGAAGTGAAGCCTTATAGGACAGATGTCGGCGTTAATTAAAAGTCGTAAAACGATTGCTATAAAGTATTGTTTGATTGAGACCTTGCAACTTCATCAAAATAAATAGAATTAAACGTAAGAAGCATCCAACCCGTTTTTGTTACAGGACCCCTGGGACTGCCGATAACCAGTCGTGGTCGCCCCGGCAGAACTCGCGCTGGGGGGAGTATGACGTCCTCAATGAAGACGGGAGGGACTGTCGGTTATCTGATGGACTCTTGGGATTGTGAGTAAAATCACACGACCAAAATTTTGCTCCATAATGTAACAATTTGTTAGCAACACTCAATAGGTGTATTTACCTAAAACCTATACATGTTTTCAAAACTTTGAAAGGCTGAGAAACGTCCTAGTTACGGAAATGTTGAACGTTTCCAATATCAAATATACGTAATAAGTACGGCAAGCATACAGCCCACAAGGGTAGAACACGCGTGATCTGTTTTTATCTTACTTGATCTATTTCATTTACAGCCGCAGTAACTTTGACTGTTGTCACCAAGCAGAAGTCGCCGGAAGTCATAACCCAATCGATACCTTCGGCAACCACAGGCGAGTTCTTCCAATCCTTTACGAGTTATCTCCCTTAGTCTTGTTCTCACCACATCCTTTTACTTTACAACAACTTTGAAACAATCTAAAAAAATCTACCAATCATACAATATATTTTAATTGCTTACATGTAGTATTATTGAAGCATTACAAAACTGTTCATACAATGTAGTTGTAGTATACACGTACATCCCTGGATGTCCCCGAATGTTCCCGAACATTTAGACACATTGCGACGAAGTCAGTTCAAACGTCTTTCTGTAAAAGCTGTTGTACTCCGCCCACCTCACAGGAAGTGACCGAGATTTAAAGATTTTTGTTTTGGTTGTCGCATGACAAACAAAGATAAACAACACACTGTAACAGTTTCATAATGTCGTCTTAATGATTACACTATATTTCTTGTTACCTTTATCGCGTTGGTGAATCGTTCAATCAATACAGTGACTGTTATCCTTGGACCTTCAAAGCCGGGGAATGTCATAGTAATGGAGCACATCCATACACATGATTATGTGTTCAGCTCAAATACACAGAATCGTGTCGCAAGTGATAAATGATTTCGAGAAAAATGCTACTACATTTTGGTATTGTCAGATGACTTTCTGTTTATTTTTTCAGATTGCCCAAGCCTCTGGAAGCAGATTACAGGTATTTGTGATATACTATTGTATCATCATGATAGGGTTGCTATGGGGGGTTTAGTGCTGCCTAGTAACATAATACACTAGCTCGTAGACTTAGGATGCCAGTGGCGGATCCAGAGGGGTTTTTGGGGCTTCAGGAAACCCCCCAAGTCTGATAATTTTCTTTAAAAATCATGTATTTTCACCAATTCCCCCCCCCCCCCCCCCCCTTCGTTGTACAATAAATATGTTTATCTTGAGTATAATAGCTTAATATTCTGTTGAACATTTTACGAGGACATTCTTACAGAAGTATAATAATACATACTGTATCTTCTTGTTCATCTCTGAATTGCAGTGGTATGGAGACTCCCCGAAAAACTGACCGTCACGTGGTGTGTGACCCACATGTGGACGTGTTTCCCCTGCATAACCCGGAAAGAAAAGACGAAAATGGTAGGATGGCTTTGTTTCAAGGATGTTTTTCATCTTTTTGAGACTACGTTTGCTTCACATAATTCTATTGGAGCATTGGTATTCTTTTCCTTGAAACTTTGTTATTTGTTTGAACAAGAGGCCCAAAAGAATAAGTGGCGAACAAATTAAATTGAATAGCCAATACCATCACTCTAGACGCCCTTATCATTTAGAAGTCGATCAAAATTTTAACACACTTGAACACCTTTGACTTTGAAAGATTTGCTATCTTTCCATCCAAGTATGCTCCGAGCCCAATAGCATTGCTCACGGACTTGCTCATGAGTTTATACCCTTTGTAGTCTAGTCACCCTACGCTTAATCAGCCAAAACCTCAAACTAATTGCAACAGAATTTTGTTTTTTTGTTTTGTTTTTTGCAATGGTAGTTATCAGTATTATAACAGGAAAAAAGTCTCCTGGAATCAAACTTTGGTAAAATATTATTCTGACCTTCTATAGGATCAAGAAAATACGGGAAAATCACATATCTGACCACTTTTGAAGTGTAATATCTACCTCTTTTACGATACTGGATATATAAGATTAAACGTATAGCAAGACCAACTGAAATATATATTACAGATTTACCAAAATGATACAGCAGAGGTATTGCATTGAAAAGTTATTGAACTATGAAAATGGCCTAAAAGCATTTTTAGCTTGACAATATTGGCTTTTGTTTTCTATTTAAATGCAGAACATACTAATTACTTAATCTCAGTGACCATATGAGTCTATTTCTAGCTTCTTTAAACATCACATTTTATCTTATATTAATGCACGAAAAATGGTACATTCACATACAAAAAAAAAAAAAAAACCCATCTAATTTGACCAATCGTGCCGATTTGGTGTTAACTTATGCCAAAATAAACAATTTACCTATTTCTGTAACATGTAATTTGAAAAAGGACAAGCAAATGCTTACAAGCATTTTATATCCATTTGTGTGTGTGCAGAACTTATTGGAAATGTTTATTTTGGCAAGATAAGTGTACAAATGTGTCCAAGCTCTGATGTTGAAAACTTAATCTCATGCAATTTTGCCTCAATACTGAAAAAAAAGTCCATGATTCTGAATAATGAAAATCTTTATTTTGGGCACAGGTTTTGTCCAACTAACAAATAGTTTTGCCAGTAAACCAATAATAAAACGGATCTTTTTGTGAGATTAATTTGTAGTTAAACATTAATATAACTTCATCATTTTATTGGAAATTACGTAAAAGAAGGCAAATCGTTACATGATATAAAGGTAATAATAAACCCAGATAGGATTCGAATAGCTACAGAAGTGTAACCTTACTTCCAGTTATTTTTAAAATATTCGAAACTATTATTGATGATAGAATCAGTCCTATTTTGACATGTTACTGTAGCATTTCTGGACAGGAACAAAACTTTCGATACTGTTTGGCACGTTGGATTGTTGTACAAGTTACATGAAATAGGACTTAAATCAAAGGTATGGGTAATCTTAAAATGTATGAATACTGGTGTGCGAAGTTGTATAATAGCTAATAACCATACATCGAGGTGGGTTAACGTCCAACGGGGTATCTTACAAGGAAGAGCATTGTCAGCAAAAATGTACTTAGTTTTTATTAATGATCTACTGAATCCAATCTAATTAAAATTATATCTTCACATCGCTCCCGTTTACTGATATGTCGCGTTGAAGATCTAACAACATCCCGTAGATGGTCATGTTCAGGCGACCTTTGCATTAACCAATCAGATGAGAGCTTATGCATTTCTGTAAGTGATGATGTAATGATTTCGGAACACACTTGCTATGACTTGCAGAGAGGTGTCAAATGAGCATCGAAAATGGCGGCGCCCATGACACCACGCCGTGTCTATCTACAAGACAACGTTTGTAGAATTTGTGGATTTTGCTTTGAAATAAGAGAGACTTCCTCTTCTGGTGATGTTGTCGTTTAAAAGTTTAACAACCTGAAACTAAAATTAACCAATGACAGGCTTCGCAATATTCAAACAATCACTGGAGCAGACGAAAAAGGCTACGAGGTGTCTGCATTAAATGCTACAGGTCCTGCTTTCTGATTGGTTTAAAGAAAGAGTTATGTCGCGTTTTGATTAGCTTGTTATAAATACGATAATGCATTCATGTTGACCTCTGACGTGACCCTCTACGGGATGTTGTTAAATCTTCAACGCGACATATCAGTAAGCGGGAGCGATGTGAAGATATAATTTTAATTAGATTGTACTGAATCAAATAGAGAAAAGCGGTAAAAGTTGCACTGTAATGGGAATAACTGTAAATGTTCCTACTCAAGCTGACGATATCACATTGATTGCTAATAGAGTCAGCGATGTTAGATGTATGTTAGATATTTGCGAAAAATATAGCAAGAAATGGAGATTGGTTTTTTCTGGGACCAAGACCAAAAAAATGAAAATCATAATACCAAAAGGAAACCATTATTCATGTTGGTGTTGCATTAACTTCTAAATTAAATTCTTTCAATCGCATCTCTAGAGCATGTTGTAAGTTAAAAAGTGATACCATGAGACTCATACGGAACGGATTACATCCAAGAGCTTTAAACCCACTTACACTTCATGTAAGTTAATCAAACATACGGTATATGCTTCGGCACTGTATGGTTGCGAACTTTGGTATTTGTCACGAACAGAAATTCTTATATTAGAACGGGCTCACAATGTTGTAATAAAATCTATACAAGGATTTGAAAGAAGAAAATAGGATGGTCATCCATAGAAAGTATTATTAACGTCAAGAGATTACTATTTTTGGAAGGCTATGTAGTATGGGCAGGAATACGTTATCAGATAAGATCTTTTTGAATCCATTGATTACAGCAGTTCTGTTGATGGATACAATTGAAGTATAGTCTGTACAAATATGTGCATGAACTTATAAATAATTGTAATTTTCCTGATGAGAGAAACTGGAAAACTATAGTGAAAGTGTCTGTTTCAATCAAACAGGAAAATGATTTTAGTGAACGTATCTCAAATGACTATGATTTGAGCAAAATTTATACATATTCATGATAAGTTACAACCGCACTGTCTATAGTTGTTATCAAAGAAATGCCCTTTATACAGTTTATAATGAATCTTATTGTAACAATTAGAAGCAGTAACACTGCAAATCATACAGAACATGTTGTGTTAAGATGTGATTTTACGAATGTTATAAGAGATAAGTTATGGATAGATATAGCCAATATACACGAAGTTAACTTCAGGTTGGAAAATAATGAACTGGAAGAACTTCTGTGGTTATGAATGTCTATACAATGTACGGTGTGCTACAGGGAGGTCTGTTTTGTCATATATCCAATGAATACACGGGAACACTATTTTGAAACATCCGGGCTGGTGAAGTTTTTAAACTGACTTTCAGAAAAATTATCTTTAAGAGAATGTTTATGGTTATGTTACAGGAGACCACGTGTTACCGCCGTCCACACGGTCCGCCATAGAGGACACACACCGGAAGCTGTACTGCTCCTCTCGTTACAGCAGTATGTATCCTGTGGATGTGACGTCAGAGAGCGACGTAAATCAGACAATGTGTCTCGATTGCGTGGTTCCAGATGAAAGTCAACCGATGTCATGCCCTGTTTTTTTTATTCAGCCTCCATGTGACAGACACAGTGATGGTGCGTGTAGTCATGTGATGGACAAGTTTGGTAGCGCCCCACCGGAAGTATTGCGTGAGGCTGACAACGATAGAGAATCAATTTACGAACCTTCGTTTTTTTCACCAATGTCTCTCAAGCGAAAAATGTTTGATGGTGAATATGACGCCAATCAGAACTTCCATAATCACCTTATACAAGACGTGTATCGGTACCGTTTGCCGTCTATCTTTCATTATACTGAAGGATTCGAAAGTGACCAAACAGTACCGGATACAATGAATCATGAGGTTGAGAAAAAGGATAATGAAGACATTACTGATGGCTGTTCCAGATTCCTCCGTCCTGCCATCCCTCCGACCTTAATTCGGGACATGGTAGACCTGAAAATGGAAATGGAACTTGCCAAACGGACCCAAACTTTGCCGGAAAACAAATTGTCCAACCAAAGACCCCTACCCAGTATAGACAGTTGGACTGAGTGGCCACACGAACCAAAACTTAGCCTCCCCCAGAAGTCGAGGACCCAGAAAAGGTAAATTATCAACTTCAACAATTGCAACTTCCATTCATTTCCCTTATACATGACTATTTCAGTCTATGGTTGTTTGACTGTAATAGTATTGTTCGCTTTAGTTTCCTTGGATACAGTTATATCGTGTGAAACTCATTCAACAAAATTCCAATGCGATCATTATTTGTCACATACATTTAGTTTAATGATCATTCTTATTCTTTCTCAGGTTCAATATCGAACACCCCAAGACGATACCAGATCTCAGGGACTTCAAAGTATATTCTAAGAGAGTTAACTTCAATGGCTTCAACTCGTCTGTTTTCCGTGGGTAAATTGTGACCCCCTGGTGGAGCTTTTACACAAGATGTTGATATGTCTGCTCGTCGATCTAATAAAAAAAAACTTAACTGTAGAATTGATGGTTACGTTTCTGGTATTTGTCTGTCAAATTGGTGTGTGTCAATGACATAAACTGTCGAAAGTGGTGTCCATTAGTGGCTAGACGTGTCCAAAGGGTGATGAATGAGTATGGTATCCATTTCCTGTGTAAACTAACAGTCTGTGCTAAATATAGGCCAGTATAGCAACCAGTGACTATTTTAGGAAAAGTAAATGTGATTCGCTGGTATCTCGGGCCGTAAGACTGACAGCTTAAAAAGATTACCATAAAGATGTAAAGATTCACACATTACACTTCATGTCGATCGCGATGAACATGATAAATAATCTCGGAAAGGTTGCCGTCTTCTAAATGACCCTATATATGGATTAAAAACGACAATCATAATGTAGATACGGAACACACCAAACAACACGTATATATAACAATAAGAAGATAAAATCATAATAAATTACACCTTCACGAAGTTTCTTGTCACGATAAGATTGACAAGCAGGACTACATAAGATCTATTTAATGGTAATTTGTCCTGTACCTTGCATTGCAGCATTCCAACAACAGACAAATGAAAATGAATTATGTTGAGCAAGTTAAACCCAGTGTTTTAGTATCGAAACCTAAATTTTTGAGCCCGTGTACTTTGTAAAGCTTTCTGTCTATGATGCGGAAGTGTTCCTGATGTATGTTTGACCATTGACTGTCTTGCTTTTACGCAATGAATAAATCCATGTCATGTTTTGCTTATTACCGTAGGTGTATATAAACATTGCATGTACCAGAAGCAATTTGATCTTGACGCTTATACTACCGCCTCGCATAAAATGAGGCTATAGGAATACTTTATACACTGAAGCTTTTATATCACAAATATCAAAATCTGCTGACTAAGACTGCCATCAACAAAAATGGAATTACAATGTTAATATACGCATTCAATCCCCTGTGATGAATAGATGACGATATGGGGGTGGGGGTGGGGGTGGGGGGTTGCTAAGGAAATCCGCCATATTGGATCCAAGATGGCGTCTTAGCAACCCCCTCAACCTATGGCCCCATATCTTCATCACTTCATCATGTGGGGGGTTTTGCGTGTGACGTCATCAGTTTTAGTGTTAACGACTGAATATCTGTATATTTAGTGTGACGTCATTTTTACGGAATTAACTCCCCTTGTTTCTGACTTTTTACCTTCTGATTTCAGATATTGCATCCATGGACTGTCTCTCTCTCTGCAACGCTTGACAGACCTGTTTTTTCTCTCTTTTCTGTTCTACTCCTTTTCTGCTCTTTTTAATCTTATATTTTCATTTTCCTTGATAATCTTATGCATTAAACATATTTACAAACAATAAATAGTTACAATATGCGTTTTTTACAATATAATATAATTCTTTTATTCACAATGTGCTGATTAAATAAGCTAAGGTGTTACATTTTCACGTAACACTGAGTGAGGTCTACATCTTTAGCTGAAGTGCATGTAACGCGTTTATATATAACTAGTACTAAAAAGAGTTTGGTATTTTCCAACTAAAACGTTTGTTTTCTGTTTCTTTTAAATCAATGCTAACAATCAGTCAAGTCAAACTTAGGGGTTATCTTGTTGATGTACACAGCACCGTGTGTTGTATATCGTTGCTCAAATCTGATTGGTCGATGCATTTAGTTGCTCAAATCTAATTTGTCGAAATCTGATTGGTCATTGCATTTAGCTGCTCAAATTTGATTGGTCAAACTCTGATTGGTCTTTTCACAGCCTTTCTAATTCGGCTTCCATGTTACTATTAATGGCGTTTTTGTAAGGTCGACGAAGCATTGGTGAGAAAGCCCTGGAGAGAATACCTGAAATCAGAATCAGAAAAAGGCGGAAACAGGGGAGATAATTTCGTAGGTAATGCGAAATTGATGGCGTCACACACAATACACAAACTACAACCACCCTCCACATCATTTCATAAATGTTTGTGTAATGTGTGTAACGCCAATGAAAACAGAAGCAGAATGACGTCACACGCAATATACACATCTATTGGAAACAGGGTGAGATAATTCATTCTGTAACACTAAATTGGATGAAGTCACAGAAATATACACATCGATGATAGTGACGTCACGTTCGACGACCGTTACGTCATCTAAAGCTACCCCATTGTGAACAAATAGTTCGGAATTCGTTTTTGCCGGACCTAAGGACAAAGACAACACTACGTGTAAGGTCAGGTGATTTTCCCTGAACGTACAGTACAAAACGACAGGACTGTCAACTTCTCTATGATGAAAGACATTGTATTGTCGGACCGCGGTAGAGTCACAAAAACAGTAGACGAAAAAATAATGAGGGATCAGAGGACATTTGCGCTGTACAATGAAACGCGTACCAACTTGTATAGACTCGTATATACTAAAAGGGTTATTTAAACACGTATCCGTACGGTTATTAAAGTGTAAAGAGCTGTTTTCACTCCTTTGTCGTAACAGGTGCTACATCTGAATCAAAATCGGCGACACTCTTTACTTTGCGAATCAATTAAGGACCCCTGTACTATCTTTGTAAACCACTTGTACTCCAGAGGGACCAAAAGTAACTCTTATACTTTTCACTTTCGGTTATGACGTCACATGAACGGATAGTTGACACTACACCAGGCTTTGAAGAACGGTTCAGTCTACGAATAACAACGATTATCAGGTATTTTCTTTACTTTAAAACGTATTTCATGACAATTCTAAATATTTCTTGAATCGTAACTGTTTTAAAGCTATAGAATAGCTAGAAATTGTTTAGTAACTTCAGCTACAAGTTTATCGGCAATTGACAGGGTTGTCTAACAGCTTGCAAGGAGCTATCTTTGGCTATGACCAGTGCATTTACAGTATGGAATCCTTGAAAAAAACCTTTACAAGACATGATAGATGTCTTACAAAATAGACGAATACTTATACATGCAATATGCTTATAGAAATATCTTAACTTTCGTTTTCGTGGGGGTAAAAATAGCTATTTTCGTTTATGCCTCCCAGGGATAATCCTGGAGGGGGCAATTGACCCCTTAAAACTGAAATTGACCCCTCCGTCTTCCAATGTTCTTTTGATTTTACATAGAAGCCTGAGTTAAGAGCTGATAACGATCGATGGAAGTGACATCACGTTCGACGACCATGGCGTCAACTTAAGCTTACCGTACGATTCTGACAATATGCAGTCTATCCGACTTCCTCCGCCAGCACCAATTAATACAACGGCAAGCAGACACGTACAGGAAGGAACGACAAAACATATCAAACGACAAGGAGTGCATTAGGAAACAACATCGTCAAAGAATGCATAGACAACGACGTGCAAGTGGCCAGTATTATTACAAACTACCATGTAAGTATAAGTATATTGTAAAAAATAGTGCATTTGCTTTTCTGTTTTTTGTTGGGTTTTTTTAATGTATTGATATTTTTTTTTTCTATTTCTTTCAGTTCAAACAACACGACAACACTACTTATTGGCCATGTTGAGCGAGGAAAACTAACACTATTTTTCATTTGGAAAAAGCCATTCGTGGTTTTTTTTTACACCTTAGTTGATTTAATCAGCACATTGTAAATAAAAGAATTATGTTATATCGTAAAAAACGCATGTTGTAACTATTTATTGTTTATAAATATGTTTTATGTATAAGATTATCAAGGAAAATGAAAAGATATGACTAAAAAGAGCAGAAAAAGAGCAGAAAAGAAAAGAAAAGAGAAAAAAAAAACAGGTCTGTCAAGCATTGCAGAGAGAGAGACAGTCCATGGATGCAATACCTGAAATCAGAAGGTTAAAAGTCAGAAACAAGGGGAGTTAATTCCGTCAAAATGACGTCACACTAAATATACACACCTTTTGGAAACAGGGGGAGATAATTCAGTCGTTAACACTAAAATTGATGACATCACACGCAAAAAAAAAGCATGATGAAGTGATGAAGATATGGAGCCGTAGGTAAAGGGGGTTGCTAAGGCGCCATCTTGGATCCAAAATGGCGGATTTCCTTAGCAACCCTCCCCCCATATCATCATCTATTTATCACCATACTAATGTGACGTCAGATGCATTATGTCGTCACACTGAAGATATTAATTCCACCAAGATGGAGACGACAGTGATAACGTGTTGCATTGTTTGCGAAATATTTCCGCGTATTATTGGATATGTGACACAAATTATGTTACAAGTAAATTCGTTTCCATTTCAGTAAACATTCTCGAAATTCGTCCTAAATGTTTCCTTTGATTTAGACAGGGCCTTGTAGCCCTCTAGACTAGTTCCAGAAACCCATATTAAAAGGAAAGTCGCTAAAGATTCTGCATTAATATCGTTGTGAAGGTGAGAGTAGAAAGTGATTAGCGAGACACATAAACTGTTTATAAGTGATAGACATACAGGCGTGCACTTCCTGACATTAATGTCTATGGGATAAAGGTAGGGAATGTCATTATACACAAATAATCGTGTGTTTACGAGATAGATATTTATAAACAGACCCTATAATGTAGACGCCGTCGCAATAAAGCAACAATCCCTTGTCAGACAGTTTCGTATCTGCTGCTCTGGTCACTGTCCATCAGCCAGCGTGTCCGAATGTCTTCATGAATCTAAGCGAGCAATGTCATATCCGCGTCCACCAGACGCTTGTAACGGTTGTGGACTTGATCACAGACCACATCCTTGGTGTGTGGCCAATATCAGGTATAGGTACTAGAAGTGATTACATTTACATTGGAAGATGTGGTCGAGTGTACTGTTGTTTCTCATGTTACAAATACCTCAGCACGATACCAGAGCCACAAGCTCCTTACATCTGTCAATAGTATTCGAATAATCATTTGCGGAAACCTATTATATATAGTTCAAACCAAAGTATTGAATCGCAAGAGTGTTTCATGTTGCTATTTATGATTTTGTCTCAATGAAAAACGTCCAGATAGCGCGCGTTGGCCTGCTGACCAAATCTAATACGTACACGTTTCTTGCTAAT